AAATATTTATAAAATGTATTTATATTTTATATTTTTACATCACATTTTTCACATATTTATTTAGACTATATGTATTGTTGTTATTATTATAAGTACTTTTATGTTTGTATTTTTGTTCCTTGCCCTTGTTCTGCTTATTATGATGTAAAGATGCACTGATACTGCCAAGTTGTTGTACATTACGCCTACTTTGTTCAACAAACAAATAATAAAATAAAGAAATACGTATATCATGTGTTTATTTACCCATTTACAAGTTGCATTTGTCTTTTTTGTATGTGTTCTACCCAAACCCTTAACCTACCCCTCACAGTGATGTAAAGCTGTAATTATTGTTGTACAGAAATTGTATATTGTGGTAAAAAATTACATTTTTTAAGCAGATATGTTGACCTCACCAGAATATAACGATTAAATTAAACATTTTAGCTTCATTATAGATGTAAAACAGCCGTGTAATCTTTATTTTGCCTGAATATAGTGTACAATAATTGAACATTTAAATGTTTTGGCAGTGTGAACTGATGTCAGGTAAACTGAAGTCTGAAGAGTGATAATTTGCCTCCCTCTCGTGGTCAAAACTATACCTGCACTATTATATTTAATTTTAAAGTTTGAAGTTATTAAGCTTTTAAGTCTGTATATAATCTTTATAGCAATCATTTCCAATTGTTACATATAATTTAGTAATTTAAAATAATATAATAATGAAAATAAGGATGCTAGCTTTCTGTAACTCAGAAGACCACAATTTTTAAAAACGTGGATTTTAAAGATGTCCTTCAATCATTAGGGGTTTCTGCTCAGATAAAGTTCTCAAGAAACCTTTTAAATTATATATATAAAGCACGATTATAAATCACTAATTAAGGAAGTATTGCAAATGTTTTTGTTTGTTTTTTGTTTTGCTGATTTTGGCAGCCTGTTTGCACTTTGAAGTTTATATTATGTGATTAATTTTGTATACTTGTAGGCCTACTTAAATAAAAAAAAAATAAAAAAATTTAAAAAATAATATATATATATATATATATATATATATATATATATATATATATATATACACATATATATATATATATTATTTTTTAAATTATTATTTTTATTATTAATTAATTAATTTATTATTAATTAATTATAATTATTATTATATTTTTATTTTGAAGTTGACAATAACAAAGTTGACACAGAATATAATTAATTGAATTGCATATTTACAGTAACTAATATTTAGCTATGGAAATAATTAACAGACCACTTCTAACAAAGCTGTGTGTCTGTGTGTGTGTGTGTGTGTACCCGTACACTTTTCTCCAGCGTATCGATTTACCTTTTAGTATAGACATCCAGTGAGACTGGACATAAGACACAGTGATCATTTCTTTCTGGAAAAGGGCATAAATAGCTTTGTTATTATTATTATTATTATTATTATTATTATTATTATTAAAACTATTATTATTATACAATATAATACATTGAGGGCAAAGCGGTGGGGCAGTAGGTAGTGCTGTCGCCTCACAGCAAGAATGTCACTGGTTCGAGCCTCGACTGGGTCAGTTGGCATTTCTGTGTGGAGTTTGCATGTTCTCCTCGTGTTCGCGTGGGTGCTCCAGTTTCCCCCACAAGTCCAAGCACATGCGCTATAGGACAATCGGGCAGGCTAAAATTGTCCATAGTGTATGTGTGTCAATGAGAGTGTATGGGTGTTTCCCAGTGATGGGTTGCAGCTGGAAGAACATCCACTGCGTAAAACGTATGCTGGATAAGTTGGCGGTTCATTCCGCTGTGGCGACCCCTGATTAAAAAAAGGACTAAGCCAAAAAGAAAATGAATGAATGGATGACACATTGAAAAACAGAATTTACCAACATAGGATTTAGCGATATCAAAGAGGTTGTACTCGTGTTAAGCTGCAATATAAAAAGAAAAAGAATAAAGTGTATTTTTATTAACAAAAGAAAAGAAAATACAGAATTCTACAATAATAAACAACAAAATACAAAACATATGCCAGAGTATACATACTTATCAATATTATCATTCATTCACTTTCCATCGGCTTAGTCCCTTTTTCATCTTGGGTCGCCACAGCGAAATTAACCACCAACTATTCCATAGTGGTGGGCAAAGCGAGGCTTCGTGAAACACTGAAACAATCGAAGCAAATGTGTTAAAGTTTCAAAACGAAACCCGACTCTACGGTGACACCTAGTGGTCATTTTTATGTATTGCACCGAAACAGCTTTAGCAAGAACATTTTAGCATTAAAACCCCACTTTGTAGCGGTATATATTCAAGAGATTTAGTGGAGCAGTTAAGGTTTCTGACTTCCATGTGGGGATAGTGGGTTCGAATCCAGGCTGATACAGCTATTCTGAAATGCTTTAATACAAGTTGGAAATGCTTTGTTCTTGTTTCGTTTTGTTTCAACATTGGTCTGACATCTGAATAAACACTTTGTAAATAAATATGTCTTGTTTTGGTCTTAAAACAGGGTTGTTGCTAGATCAGACATAGTTGTAGCCAGAATGTATCAAGAATTAGTTATATTATTCATTAAATTTCCCATTTAATGTATTTCCCCTAGTAGCAAAGAATTCTGGCCCAGATTTGGCATAAAGCTGGGACATCAGGCATTCATCCGGCACTGGCATACAGCATGTAGGCCAACCATGGCCTGGGTTTGGCAGAGGTGGCACCGTCTATAATGCGGCACACAAGATTTGGGCCAGATGAAAAACGTAGTATTTGGCCCAGATTTTAAAAATTGATTGTGGGCCACGTGAGTTTGGCCAGTCTTGACCCACATTTAAAATACATAAAAATAATTTTTGATTAAATAAATCAATTCTACCAATCAGGTCACTGAGAACAAACAAGGCCCATAGTGTGCCTAAAGCGCAACGCTTCATAGGTTTATTAATTGTATTGCAATCGTGACACACCAACCTTACCGGCCCAGTTCAGGCCCAGTTATGAGTTATTAACTTGGCTGAGACTTGGCCCAGATATGGTCTGTGTTTGGCCCTTGTCTGGAAGCCAGATTTGGTCCAGTCATGTACCGTAATTCACTGCGGCATGTGGGCAAAGCAAAACCTGATTGTGTGGGCCAGAACTGGGCCAGAGAAATTTTGCTATATAGGTCATTAACGTCTACCCAAACCCTAAACCCACAGTGCTGTAAAAATATTTATTATTGTTTTAGTGTCACAAAAATGATGCTATATTGATGGCGTATGCGCAGCTGTAATCTTGTTAGGCTACACCATAAAACAGAAACATGATAAAAATACATAAAACCATAATTTGGGAGTATTTGTACAAGTCGGGATTCGAACCCAAAAGACAATGAATGAATAGTTACAGCTTGCACACGCACAGTCCATTAGGCCAGGGGATCCCTAACTTTTCAGCCCACGACCCCCAAAATAACAATGACAGTGACTCGCGACCCCCATTTTTCAAGGTGGTTACACTGTAAATACAAACCTTGTAGACACAACTATAGGCATGTATAAACATGAGCACATTGACAACACAGAAATGCAACAGTCTATTAACCATATATATATTTTTATATTCATTTATTAATTTATAATATAAAAAGTAAAGGCTGATGACTGATTTTTATTTGTTTATAATAGATAATAATTATAATTTTGTTTTTGTTTATTTGTATGCTGTTGTTTATTTAACACAACTATTAACCTCTGTGGGTTATGAGTAAAATATGGTCATTCAAATAGTTTAATAAAACTTATTTGAGTTTTGGAAATCACCAAGCGACCCCCACTTTGAGAACCACTGCACTAGGCCATATGAGACAGGTAAATAACCTGACTCCGGCAGTAACATGTAGATTTGCCAGGTCTCGAAACGCTTCTTAACTGATCGATGCTTTGAATCACTTTAGTCACGTGACCAAGTGTTTCGAAACACTTTAGTCACGTGACTTGGGTGTTTCAGATCATGCTTCGGTGCAGTGTTTCGGGATCTTGACACTGTGTCGAAACGTCAGTTTCACGTCAGCCATCCTATTCCAGCATATGTTTTATACAGAGCATAACCTTCCAGCTGCAACCCAGTAATGGAAAACACCCATACACACTCTCAGTAGCTGGATGGGAGACCACATGGGAAAACTAGGGTTGCTGTTGGAAGATGTGAGGCCAGCAGGGGGCGCACAACCTGAAGTCTGTATGAGTCCTAATGCCCCAGTATAGTGACGGGGACTCTATACTGCTCAGTGAGCGCCGTCCTTAAACCGAGGTCCTGACTCTCTGTGGTCGTTAAAAATCCCAGGAAGTCCTTTGAGCAAGAGTAGGGGTTTAACCCCAACATCCTTGCCATATCTGCCCACTGGCCTCTGTCCATCATGGCCTCCTAACCCTCTCCATATCATAATTGGCTTCATCACTCTGTCTCCTCTCCACCAATCAGCTGGTGTGTGGTGTGCGTTCTGGCGCAAAATGGCTGCCGTCGGGTCATTCAGGTGGATGCTGCACACTGGTGGTGGATGAGGAGATTCCCCCATGTGTAAAGCGCATTGAGTGTCCAGAAACGTGCTATATAAATGTAAATACCTATTATTATTATTATTATTATTATTATTATTATTAAATTCTACATTAAAAAGGATAAGATTATACACAGACATTAGAAATTGTATTTAAAATAATTAGAATAATAATTAATTTTGGATGCACAGAAAAAAATCTGCAAAATAATATTTGAGATAAATAAATTAACATCTTGCCAAAATTGGGACACAAAGTTGCATGACTAAAATAAGTGAAGAAGGGTTTTGTTATTCTGACAGAAGAAGCAATTTATGTCAAAATCTGATCCAGGTTTTTCTTTAAGAAGTTTTTGACAGGGTAAATGTTATGTCATAGTTTAAAATACATTTCCTTTGCCTTATTAGTAAGAAAAAAACTTTTGCTGAATGGAAGTGTCTGCGCGTGTGACGAGGAAGTGAAACGACGCGCTCTGACGTCACGCGCCAAGCGGAAGTGCAGTGTTCGGAGTGTAAACAGACCACGCGGTTGACCGGAGCAGATCATGACGGGCTCAGCAGCAGCAAGGCTCGCGGTGAAATGTGCGCTGCTGGCGGCGATCTGCAGCCGGTGTCGGGCTCTGCAGGGCGGGATGCTGTTTCCCAGAGACTCCCCGAGCAGAGAAGTGAAGGATGTGAGCGGCCTGTGGAGCTTCCGAGCCGATCTGTCGGACAACCGGAACCGCGGATTCGAGGAGCAGTGGTTCAGCAGACCTTTGGAGGAGGTGACGTCACATCTGACGCCACACACTTTTAATTTGAGTGTTTTAATAATAGTGATGTACACAACAACTTTGCATTATCAGTACATCTTCACATTACAAAAAAAAAAAGAACAGGTGCAATATAAGGATCAAAATGCGTACATAAATAACAACATTACATTACAATAAGTGAAATATTAAATAACTAAATACATTAAAATAATATTCGAGGAGTTTAGAGAGCTTTACAGAAAATGTCTCCTTACATAAACTGTTTAATAATTAATTTTTGGTTGTGTTCAAGTGTACATAAACCTCAGACCTTTGAACTTCCACTATAAATGAAAATAGTTAATGGTATGCTGGAATTTACACATTTAAAGGCTCCAAATATGATCATTTTAAAAAGGTTTATCTTATATTTATAATATTGGTAACACTTTATTTTCATTTACTATTCATATCATTATTAACAAACCATTAACTAAGACCATTAGCACGTTTAACTACTAATTTGCAGCTCATTGATAGTTATTAAAGGTCTATAATAAGGTCATACTTTATAAATAGTTAATATCTTAAGGATAAGCAGGTAATACGCCTGTTGTTAATAGTGTGATTTGTTAAATTAAAGTTTTACCATAATATTTTATATAGTTATATGGTCAAACTTTCCAAATTGCGCTATTAACAAACCATTAACTATGACTTTTAACTCTATAAACTCATAATTTGCTGCTTAGTAATGGTTTTTAAGGTGATAGTTGGGTTTAGATATTGGGTAGGATTAGTAATATAAAAGAAGATCATCCAGAATATGTGCTGTATAAGTATTAATAAACAGCCAATATCTTAATTAACAAGCAGGCAATAAGCTACTAGCTTAAAGTGAGAACTGGATATAAATTATTATTTATTGTGAGATGTACACTACCTGACAAAAGTCTTGTTGTGGATCCCAGTTGTCAGAGCAGCAAATAATAACTCGACTTCTAGTTGATCATTTGGAAAAGTGTCAGAAGGTGGATTTCTCCCATGATTCATCTGTTGATCTGCATCCCAATCATCACCAATACTACAGAAGACCTACTGGAACCAGCATGGAGCCAAGATTCTCACAGAAATCAGTCAAGTTTGGTGAAGGAGAAATCATGGTTTGGGGTTCATTCAGTATGGGGGCGTGCGAGAGATCTGCAGAGTGGATGATCAACATCAACAGCCTGAGCTATCAAGACATTTGTGCTGCCCATTACATTACAAACCACAGCAGAGGGACAATTCTCCAGCAGGATAGTGCTCCTGCTCATACTTCAGCCTCCACATCAAAGCTCCTGAAAGCAAAGCTGCTCCAGGATTGGCCAGCCCAGTCTCCAGACATGAACAGTATTGAGCATGTCTGGGGTAAGATGGAGGAGGAGGCGTTGAAGATGAACACAAAGAGTCTTGATGAGCTCGGGGAGTCCTGCAGGAAGGCTTTCTCCTTCATTCCAGATGACTTTATTAATCAGTGATTTGAGTCATGTCAGAGATGTATGGATGCAGTCCTCCAAGCTCATGATGGAGTCACACACAATATTCATTCTGTCTCCACTGCAGCAGGACTTTATATTCTATACTGGACATTATTTCTGTTCAGTGATGAGACTTTAGTCTGAGCAGAGTCAGAGCTTACTGTCCTAATGAAATCATTAATAATCAAGACAGGATCATATTTAATTGTGCTCAAATAAGCAAAATCTAGAGGCCTTCGCCTTTTATATAAGCCACTTCTGATACCAAATGATCAACTAGAAGTCAAGTTATTACTTGTTCTTAAAACTTGGATAGGCGACAAGACTTTTTTATCAGGTAGTGTGCACACATCTTTTTCTCTCTTATGCAATCAACTGGTTTGCAATATTGCAATATGTGTGTTCAGTAACGTTTCTTGTGAAGAAAGAAGAATCTCTAATTGTGTTTATTAGGCAGATTACTAACTTTTTGATTCGTTTAACATTATAAAATCTAAATATTAAAATCAATCAAGTGTATATTTGCATTTATGCATACAATAACATAATCTAGTAGTTAAAACCTGGCCTTGTATATTAAATAATGTTAGCTTCTTGACAAATAGCTTCTGTTCCTCTTTTGGAGAGAAGCATCTGCTCTTGTTGCGCTATGAAATGTTAAAGGCACAATATGTAAGATTATTTTTTCAATGAAATCTCCAAAAAAAAACAAAAAAACACTAGAGCGATGCTGTAGGTTTTGTCTTGTGTACTTACATTATCCCAAATGTTAAGAAGGATCTTTAAATCCAGAGAAAAACAGCAACTAATATTTTAACTAGTGATCAGAGTGTGTGTTTTTGCTAATGACACAGCCTTTATTTCTGGTGTGGCTTTTTAGAAAACAGGGAAATGGCATTCATTCATTCATTTTCCTTTGGCTTAGTTTCTGATTTATCAGGGGTCGCCACAGCGGAATGAACCGCCAACTACAGCAGCGAAGCTTTAGGGCCCTATCATACACCCGGTGCAGTGTGGCGCAAGGCGCGGCGCAATAGTCTTTTGGTAGTTTCAGCTTGGCGCAAGAGTGGTTTTGAGGCGTTGCGCTACGCTGTTTAAATAGCAAATGCATTAGCGCTCATTTGTGCGCCCATAGGCGTTCTGGTCTAAAAAGGAAGGCGTTCTGAGGCGGACCGCTGGCACGTTGCTATTTTGAGAAACTATAATAGATTTTTCATTAGACCAAAACAAACCCGGTCTAAACTCCAGCGCAGAGTTACGCCTCACTTACACACTGCTTAATACACACAAGAGAGCAATAGGCAAATATCTTTACATATGAAAAAATGTAAATATTAAGGATATATATATAGGATATAATAAGAATAGATATAGGATATAAATATAAAGGATTAAAATATTACAAAACATATTATTTTCTAGCCTACATAAATATGAAAAATCACTGCTTTTATGTCTTCTTCATCTCGGGAGGCTTTTTCAGTTCATTCATAACAATTTGCTTTTGTATAATGTTATTATTATTAGCAGTATTATTTATTATATCCATATTTATATTTGTTTTATTAAAAACAAGCTTAGATTTGTCCACCTGTCAGGTTTTAGACCATATGGGGCACAGCATGTGTTTTAGGATATAACTCAGGTTTTTGAGCACATTTTGTTATTGTTTTTCATTTTTTCGTTTGCTGGAAATTAGAACTGAATTTAGAAATAGTTTTGAAACGAATATTTACGCTTAACAAACGCAATTAATTATTTATAGACTAATTGATGTCTGTGTGTAAAGGTTTCCCTATCCAAGAGCGAAAGTGAAAGTGATCCATTATCTCTCATTCTCACGGAGTAGATGCTCTGTTTAACAGTTTTCTGTTAAAACACTGTGAACTGTTTGCTTGTGAAATGCTCAGTTTTTCCACTTAGACTTACTTTGCGTCCTGTAAATAGTGAATGCGCTCTTGGCGCGACGCAGCTGGCTCTTAAAGGGAATGGGAGATGAGACTCTGATTGGTTTTTTCTCAAAACACACCTGTAACTCATTAAGAAAATAAACGCGACCCTTTAAGACCATGCGCCGAAGCGCAAGGCAGATTTCCCGTCCTTAAATTAGCAAAAACGCGTCCTGACACGCCCTGAAAGCGTTTGCGCCCTGCGTTTTGCGCTCTGCGCATGGCCCGTCAAAATAGAGCCCTTAATATGCTGTGTTTTTATTAGGAGCCGATCACACCTCTATTCTGAGAACAAGAGGCGCACTTCACTGCTTTTTTTTTTTGTCAACTAAAAAAAAAGTGCTCTGTGCTTTTTATGTCTCTAGGCCAGGGGTTCCCAATCTATTCAGCCAGCGACCCCCAACATAACGATGCCACAAACCCCCCACTATCTTCTGAGGAGGTTATAAATATCCAAACGTTGCGCACACAACAATAGGCCGATACAAATTGACAACAAAAAAAGTGCAACGGTCTAACAGCCATCTAATGTTTATAGTTATTGTAAGAAAAATGATGATGATGATGAAGAAAATCTCAATGAAGATGTTTATTCAGCATAGCAGTCTCAAAATACATGGCAGTACCTTGGGTTCACTGGAGACAGAATGAACCCTGAACATTCCTAAACTCAAACCTTTATGCTGTTTTTGATGTTGCCTTTAGATGTTAATGAAGTTGCTCCTTGGCTGTTGACCCAGCTGTTCTCCCTATCTCTCCATGTTAATGGAGTTTCAACACCATTGATGAGATGGTTCTCTGTGCACCATATGCATCCCCATTCTATAATTGTTACCATTTGGTCGAGATGTAGTCACCTCAAACAATGCTGAGACAAGACCCTGTTGACTTCTCTTTTCTCTCATAAGTCAGCCCTTTTGGGAAATGAGCATCAATTCACCATTTAGAGTGGAAGTTGAGTCGAGGCAGACTCACTTCTTACATTATTTATTAACTTAATCTAATATTAACCTGGCGTAATGAGACTGGTGGGCACGATATTTTCAGTACAAGTCTATTTTCGGGTTCATTTTGGAGACCTCCTCCTTGTTTAGTTGTGGCCTGTATTTATTTTTAATGCATTTGATTGCCATAAAGCTGTCAGAAAGTTTAACCTGCTGCTGTAAAATCCAGCGGATGCTATTGCTGTGCTGTTAATCTAACGCACCAATTCAATGAAAAAACAAATGGAAAGGCTGATCGTTGTTGTTTTTTATGTTACTTCTAACTACTGTTTTATCTTCTGTGGGTTATGGATAAAATATGGTAATTCTAATTGTTTAATCAATTTTGTTTGACTTTTGGAAATCACTAAGTGACCCCCTGTCGTTGTCATGCGACCCCCATTTTGTGAACCACGGCTCTAGGCAACCACTGAATCAGCTGCATATTGTGTGCGAGTGCTACTGTTGATATTTGTGATATTTAATAATTTGTCATTAAAATACGCCTTTGTTTGTTGTGAATACACGCCCTCTAGTGGACATAGTGGAGATATATTTTGCATTATAAGTGTTTTTATATAGGCAAGAAGGCCTCACAGCAAGAAGGTTGCTGGTTCTAGTACCGGCTAATTCAGTTGGTGTTTCTGTGTGGAGTTTGCATGTTCTCCCCGTGTTGGCGTGGGTTTCCTCTGGGTGCTCCGGTTTCCCCCACAGTCCAATCACATGCGCTATAGGGGAATTGATTAACTAAATTGGCCGTAATGTGTGTGAATGAGTGTGTCCCATGTTTCTTAGTACTGGATTGTGGCTGAAAGGGCATCCACTGTGTAAAACAGGGATGTCAAACTCAATTCCTGGAGGGCCATAGCTTTGGACAGTTTAGTTCCAACCCTAATTAAACACACCTGATGAAACTAATTGAGCCCTTCAGGCTTGTTTGATAAGTGTGTTGGAGCAGGGTTGGAACTAAACTCTGCAGAGCTGCGGCCCTCCAGGAATTTGAAGTTTGACATCCCTGGTGTAAAACATATGCTGGAATAGTTGGCGGTACATTCCGCTGTGGCGACCCTTGATAAATAAGGGACTAAGCCGAAGAAAAATGAATGAATAAAGTGTGTTCATGTCTGTGTTTTTATTCCAGACGGGTCCAGTGATTGACATGCCGGTGCCGTCCAGCTACAATGACATCACACAAGACGCCAAAATCAGGGATTTTGTTGGCTGGGTTTGGTATGAGAAGGAAGTGCTGGTTCCCACACGCTGGATCCAGGACCGGGGAACACGCATCGTGCTCCGAGTGGGAAGTGCACACTATTACTCTGTGCTTGTAAGTATGCATTTCATCATACATAAAGCTGACTGCAAAATTATTCATTAATTAATTTGGCCTCCTGTGAAACTTGTATAATTTTTCAAATATTTTCCAAATGCTGTTTAACAAAGAAAGGACATTTTATAGTACGTATAAAATATAATATTTGTCTTGAAAAACACTATTAATTTTAGTTTGGCTGTAACCTAAGCAGTTTTTCAAGTTAATTAAATACTTTTTAAGGCCAATATTTTTGGCCCCCTTAAGAAACATTTTATTCGATTGGCTACAGAACAAACCTTAAAAAGGTAAATACTAGTATCTTGCAAAAATAACTAGTAAAATATTGTGCAAACTGTTTAAGTTTGTTTAGATTCTCTGCTCGAGCTCAGACTTGACCCGATCAGACTTGTGGGCCGGGTCAGGCTGATATTTCTAGCCACTGTCTTTGGGCCGGGCCGTGATCAAGCATTTGTGTGTTCTTTTTTAGTCATTACTTAATTAGCCTAATTGAGTAGAAAAGCAATGCACTAATTAGGAATATTATATGAATATTTTAGCAAAGTATGCCTAAGCAACACGTGTGGTTCTACAAAATTGCACAATTCGCAACACGTGTCATGCGCAGCAACACTTTAGCTCCTGCAACAGCATCTCCTCCACTGGCACACATTCACACCAAGGTTATTATAGTTGACAAAAACTAACAAAAAATTGAAAACTAAAATGTAAAATAATTGTCATTAACTGAAATAAGAATAAAAACGAGAGTTTTTTTCAAAAACTAGAACGAACTGAAACAGTGTTGTGTAGATACAAAACTAACTGAATCTAACTAAAATGATAGCAAAAACTTTCTTCGTTTTCGTATTTGTAAATGTATTTAATACATAATCTTACTGTAAGCCTTTTAAAAGTAAATACAATCCGCGCTGCAGGTGTTTGTGTTTGACCCTTTCGCACCTCAGTCTCCTGCTGCCATTGGCCAGATCAAGCCGGCTCTCCTCCAGTCATCCTCGCTGTTGGTCCCGCGACAAAAACAACGAGTGAACATGACAGCAGCACGGCATTAAATACAGACACTTAAAACTATTACTTTAACACATTTGTGCCCAATAATAGGGTTTATTTCTGTATCGCGATCACGAACAAATCTTTTTAACCGGATCTTCTAAGTGAACCGGTTGAACTAGTTCACCAAATCAAACTGAATCATTTGAAACGATTCGCGTCTCCAGTAAGCACTCATCCACCAACTACATACTTTATAAGAAGCCTGATGCTGCGTTCACACCAGACGCGGCACGCGCATCAAGCACGAGTAATTTACATGTTAAGTCAATGCAAACGCGCGGATAGACATCCTGCGGTGCGATACGCGTGAAGGGCGCGGCGGGAATGACGCGAATGGCGCGGTGCGAATAGCGCGATACGCGCAAGGCGAATTGAGCGTTTTGCGCGTTTGCCGCGCTTAACGAGCATTTCGCACGAATCTCATGAATTCGAAAATCTGAAATTCAGCGGACATTCGCGCCGCGTTAACCAATCAGAAGCTTGCTCTTGTGTGGGCGTGATTGTGACGTAGAACCAGTTGATGGTGTCCCGGGGGAAATCCTCCAGGCGACACCGACAACAAGTCATCAAACTGGACTGTTGCTCAGTCAGAAGCACCGCTGAAAGCCTCCGTCATCCAGGTTCAGTTTCTGGAGGAGTTTATGAGCTCACAGAGCTGGATGAACCTCTGAAAGCATGTAGTGGACTCAGACACGGTCCTAAACGTATCGACGCTGTTTTTCAGTCTTCATAAAGCACATAAACACTGTTATTTTCTTCACAAAATCCATGTTAGCCATTTAGCAACGAAGCTACAGTCACCGGGAAGACAGAAGCCCTGCCCATCACGCAAATCCGTGTCTGTTCTGAAGTAAATTTGACTCGCGAATGAAGCGGATTTGACGTGCGAATGAAGTGAGTAAACTCAAATGTTTACGCGGCTATTTACGCACGAATATCACGATTTATCCGCGCGTTCCGAGTCTGGTGTGAACACAGCATGATACCCCCCTCTGACTCTAAAAAATCCAATATATACTCTCATTCAGTTATTAGAACAGCAACGTTGCGGTGAACTGATAATACTGCGCATGCGTGATTCAGTGAACCAAAACACAAAACAGTACAGCCCGCTGTGTGACTGAACTGAACTTGGAACAACTGCAGCGCGGGTAAACCGAGGGCTTAAATGAGAGGATCTGGAGAAAAACGTAAGTTTATTTCATAACAGACAATCGTAATGGAATTAAAATAAGTGAATCATCATTCAGTTGGGTTTACAGTTAGTAAAACTTTACTGTAAGACATTTTTCAGATGATGGCGATGTTTTAACTGACTGAAATTACTATTGCTGACTACATAATGCTTAGTCCTCACATCCGCATTAGAAATCTGAATTTCCCATCACCAGGCCAGGATTAATAATTCAGAGGCCCCTGTGCACAATGTCTTGTAGGCCCCTTATAACCGCACCCCATAGTTGAATTAAAAAATAATATTAATATAATATTTGTTAAATAAAATGTATCTATAATAATGTATTGCCCACATTTTTTAAATAGATGATATACACTACATATATTTCCATTCTACAAAGATTTTACTTATTTTTAAAGCAGTTAAAGCACACTTTGAAAAAAATACAACTCAGGGAAATTTATGGATTTTAATATACTTGTTCGAGTTCACTAAAGCAGTACTAAAAATGTATATTTAAGGGTATTTTTAACGTATAACTTCTACAAACTCATAATGCACATGATGTGGATAACACCTCTCCAATCCAGCTCTAGGAATCTGATAATACACACATAACACACACACTTATTATATATGATGATAGTGTTCATGTGTCCTCTGAATACATGTTTCGAAAAACATATGGCTGAGTTTTTATTATACAATATTTATCCTGTTGATTTTGAATCTTGCACCTAACAAATATCCTCATTTAGAAAAAAAAAATGAAACTAATAGTGAAACTAATAAAAACTAAACTAAAACTAAGACATTTAAAAAAACTAATAAAAACTAGGAAATCTGCCTCTACAACTAATTAAAACTAACTGAATTTAAAAACAAAAAGTCAAAAAGAAATAGAAACTAATGAAAAATCCAAAACTATTATAATCTACACACGCAAGCAGAGCTATAGCAGCGCATATGTATAGCAGAAACATATAGGAGATATACATATAGTATAGGAGAGTCAAGTAAGGAGTGCCTCAAGGATCAGTTTTAGGCCCTTTGCTATTCACAATATACATGCTGCCCCTGGAAGATGTTATTATGATCAGTTTTCACTATTATGCAGATGATACTCAATGATAGGTAACACTTAATTTTCAGTTGCAAGTCACACCATTTACCACTGCCTTGTTACCTGCCTATTATTAAGATATTAACTGTTTATTAGCACCTATAGTGTATGGTCTTATTCTACATCCCTAATCCTACCCAATACCTAGACTAGAAATGACTAGAAATGTGCAGTTTTACAATATCTTGCTGATAATGTTTTTAGTTATCATTTAGTATTAGTGTACACGCACCGGACACTTTATTAGGTACACCTGTCCAACTGCTCATTAATGCACATTTCTAATCAGCCAATCACATGGCAGCAACTCAGTGCATTTCGGCATGTAGACATGATCAAGGCGATCTGCTGCAGTTCAAAGCGAGCATCAGAATGGGGAAGAAAGGGGATTTAAGTGACTTTGAACGTGGCATGGTTGTTGGTGCCAGACAGGCTGCTCTGAGTATTTCAGAAACTGCTGATCTACTGGGATTCTCACGCACAACCATCTCTAGGGTTTACAGAGAATGGTCTGACAAAGAGTAAATATCCAGTGAGCAGCAGTTCTGTGGGCGCAATTGCCTTGTTGACGAGGTCAGAGGAGAATGGCCAGACTGGTTCCAGCTGATAGAAAGGCAACAGTAACTCAAATAAGCACTCGCCACAACCGAGCTCTGCAGAAGAGCATCTCTGAACACACAACACGTCCAACCTTGAGGCGGATGGGCTACAGCAGCAGAAGAGCACACCGGGTGCCGCTCCTGTCAGCTAAGAACAGGAAACTGAGGCTACAATTCACACAGGCTCACCAAAACTGGACAATAGAAGATTGGAGAAACGTTGCTGCTCTGATGAGTCTCCATTTCTGCTGACACATTTGGATGGTCGGCTCACAATTTGGTGTCAACAACATGAAAGCATGGATCCATCCTGCCTTGTATCAGCAGTTCAGGCTGGTGGTGGAGGTGTAATGGTGTGGGGGAGATTTTCTTGGCACACTTTGGGTTTATTAGTACCAGTTGAGCTTGTGTCAACGCCACAGCCTACCTGAGTATTGCTGCTGACCATGTCCATCCCTTTATGAGCACAGTGTCTCCATCTTCTGATGGCTACTTCCAGCAGGATAACACACCAATTTCATAAAGCTCTATCATCTCAGACTGGTTTCTTGAACATGACGATGAGTTCACTGTACTCAAATGGCCTCCACAGTCACCAGAGCTCAATCCAATAGAGCAGCTTTGGGATGTGGTGGAACGGGAGATTGGCATCATGGATGTGCAGCCGACAAATCTGCAGCAACTGTGTGATGCTATCATGACAATATGGAGCAAAATCTCTGAGGAATATTTCCAGTAGCTTGTTGAATCTACGCCATGAAGGATTAAGACAGTTTTGAAGGCAAAAGGGGGCCAACCCGGTACTAGTAAGGTGTACCTAATAAAGTGGCCGGTGAGTGTACTTCTGCAGTGTTACAGATCAAACAACTAAAGTTACATTTTATTTTGTCGTCTTTTTCATTCCTTTAAACCCTGTTTTAACATATTGTAATCAGTCTTTAATCATTTATATTCTTATGTTTTATGTTTATTTTATTCCTGTTTATGTAAAGCACTTTGAATCACCATTGTGTATGACATCTGCTATATAAATAAACTTGCCTTGCCTAAATTGCAATCTAAGAAAAATGTGTTGAGAAATAAAAACATCTCTCTGTTAAACATCACTTGATTAAAATTTCACACAAAGGCTGATCATGTTGCCTTCAACTGTACATTGTTATCTCTTTTGTCACAGGCTGACTGGGCTATTTGTGTACGATCTTGTGAGTGTCATGTTGTCTTAGATTCATCTGCGTAGTCACAGTCAGGACTGACGCATGCTTCTGTGTTTTTGTTTCCCATCATGCAGTGGGTGAACGGGGTCCAGATGACTGAACATGCGGGCGGTCATCTGCCATTCGAGGCGGACATCAGCAGCGTTCTGCGTCAGAGCTCTGGAGGTCCGTGTCGAATCACCATAGCAGTGAACAACACTTTATCTCTGGAAACACTTCCACCAGGAACCATCCAGTACATGAACGACCGCACAAGGTCAGAGGTCATACGTAAACACTGTGCTCAATTTATTTATGAGTATAAGTGTTTTTATTATGCAGAAATCACTTTTATAAGGGGTTTAAGCACAGTTGTGTGTCAGCAGTGTGTGAATATATCCAGCCTTTAATGGAAAAAAAGATTATTGTTTATAATCAGACTTGATGAAAACAGTCTGCAGAAACACTTTGATTGACATTCTCCCTTTGTACATGTCATCAGAGGGGTCAAGCCCCGCCCACTAGTGCCCATCTCTCCCTCATTAGCATAAACAGTTCTAGCAGCCACTATGCTGACACATTTGTAGCTCCGCCCTCTTTAGAAGAGAACACAATCTCATTTGAATTTAAAGCGATACAGAATGGCGGTATATGGATCAAAGTCTAAAAGAGTCCGTTTCAAAGAGATATTAAACATTATTTGTGGGCTATTTAAAGCTGAAACTTCACACACACACTCTAGCGATGCATTTATTAATATGCTTATTTTACATCGTATGAAAAAGGACATATTAGGTGTCCTTTAAATCATACTTCACCATAATTTACTCACCCTCTGGACTTTGAAGATGTAGGTGGTTTTGTTTTCTTCAGTTGAACATTTAAGAAGATTTTGAGCTTAATCTGTGCTGATTATTATAATGAAAGTCAGTGGTTACATGTTTTTGAGATTAAAAACAAACACATACAAATGAGTCCAAATGAATCCCAGTGGCTCCTGATGACACACTGGGGTCTTGTGACACAAAACAATCCGAACGTTATTTACATAGGGCTGGACAATAATTCGATATTAATATATATCATGATAGATTCTTTTTTAATAAAGGTGATATGATTTTAAAAACCCATTTCCGATGTTTTGAAATAAATTTGTATATACAGTCAAACTCAACTGTATATATATATATATATATATATATATATATATATATATATATATATATATATATATACATACATATATATATATATTATTAGCGTGCCGACATATGGTGCAATAGCACATCAGGGCGACGCAAGTTCGAATCCCGGCTTGACGACCTTTCCCTACCCCCCCTCTCTCTCCCACTTCGTTTCCTGTCTCAATACTGTCCTATCTAATAAAGGCAAAAAGGCCAAAAATAAATCTAAAAAAAAAAGTGCATAATTAATTGGGCAAATTCATGTATTTTCTGTCTTCTCCTCTTAGATATCCTTCTGGCTACTTCGTTCAGAACACTAACTTTGATTTCTTCAACTATGCTGGAATACATCGCTCCGTCCTGCTGTACACGACACCCGCGGTGCACATTGATGACATCACAGTCCAGACGACATTCTCCGATAACATCGGTAAGAGAATATGTAAACATCAATACAATCAATTAAAATAAATTTTTGCGGGTGCAGCTGATTCAAATGTTATCACTTCATTGAATAGCCGTTATCAGCTGACAGATATGAGCCAGTAGGGGCCTTCTGCGCTTACTAGTTGGTTGTAGGCTGTTATCATCCATCTACATGGTTGATCAGCTATAGATCACTAATGGCTGCGGCTGGAAGTTACCACCAGCTCTCACAGTAATTTAAAACAGATCTGGAGTCTTCTCTATTAGTATAGCTGATTAACCATGTGAATGGATGATAACAGCCTTCTGAGCCCACCAGTATGCGCAGAAGGCACCTACTGGCCCATATCTATCAGCTGATAACCACCGATAACGGCCATTCAGTCGAGTGATAATATTGAAAGCGGGTGTTTTTGTGCAGGAAACATATTGCATTGTCAGATTTAACATTTTAACATTTATTTTGTTACTTATGAATTATTCTGCATGAAGTAAAAATGAGCAATGCTTATTTTGCTAGTGCACATTGTTAGTTTCAAGGTGAACAATTAATCCGTGCCAGTTAATCCACTGTAAATGTACTGCTGTGAGTGAAAGATGATAGGAGGAGCTCAAAAATGAAACCCCGCCCCCTACTCAATATTCAGTTTCGGTTGGAAATACATCATCATCATAAAAAAATAAAAGTCTGCAGCAACTTCTAACTCTGGACTTTAATATTTGTTAGTATTATGTAAACTCTGTCAACAGTAAAAACTATACATTTGACCTCTTCCCAACAGGGAAAACCAGCAACAATCAGGAATGCATGATTATATGATGTCATGGCTTTGCAATTAAATAATGTGATTATAATGGAAGTCAATGGGGCAAAAACAGCACCAACATAAGGAAAGGGTAGTCAATTTGAACAATACAAAGCGGAGATGCAAAAACAGTGGGGCTCATTCATGTATCACACCGCTAAGTGATGCATTGAGTGTATGCTTTACTAAACAGACAGGTCTTTAATCTAGTGTTGAACTGGGAGAGTGTGTCTGAGCCTCGTACATTATCAGGAAGGCTGTTCCAGAGTTCAGGAGCCATAAATGAGAAGGCTCGACCTCCTTTAGTAGACTTTGCTATTCTAGGTACTACCAGAAGCCCTGAGTCTTGAGATTTTAAAAAGCGAGTTGGATTATAGCGAGACAGAAGGTTGGTTAGATAAACAGGAGCTAGATTATTTAAAGCTTTATTGGTAAGAAGCAATATTTTATAATCAATATGAAACTGAACAGGCAGCCAGTGTAGGGAGGATAAAATTGGGGTGATATGATCATATTTTCTAGACCTGGTCAGAACTCTGGCTGCTGCGTTTTGTACTAGCTGAAGTTTGTTAATAGAGGATGTTGGGCAGCCAGCAAAAATAGCATTACAGCAATCCAGCCTAGAAGTCATAAAAGCATGGACTAGCTTTTCTGCATCTGAGATGGATAGCATACTTCGTTATTTAGCGATATTTCTCAGATGAAAGAAGGCAGTTTTTATGACAAGGGATATATGATTTTTACAAGTTAGATTGCTGTCTAATATGACACCCAGATCTTTTATAGTAGCGCTAATGCTAACTTTGTATCCCTTTAATTAGGGGCCAAGCACCGTAGGTGCGTAGGCACCTATTGCTTTCGTTAGTGTTCTTATTATTATTATTATTATTATTATTATTCTTCTTCTTCTTCCGTTTCTTCCGCCGGATTTGAATGGCAGCCCATATAGGCGTATGCGGGAAAGTTGTATAATTTGGCACAATGATAGAGGCCAGTATTAACATTTATCAGGCCAATTATGAAGTCTCAAAATCAAACTCTCTAGCGCCACCACTTGTCCAAACTTTCACGTATGTTTATCATCATAACTTTTGAACCGAAAGGGCTACAATCAAAATTCTTTTTTCATCTGATTCCTTGGCTCAGTCCGATTCAAACCCACCCTATGACGTCATTTTCCGTCATGAATTTTTTCGCGCTATTTTAAATTTTTCGAAAAACCTATTTGATCGAACTCGTCCTAGGCCGTGTCTCCGATTTTCACCAAAATTGAATCACATGATCTACAGACCATGCCAACCAAAAGTTATGGAATTCAAGTTGATTAGACCAACCGTTTTCGTTTAACTTGCGAACTAATTTAACGTAGAACTTGCGAAAATGGACTTGAGGCGATATCTCCGTAACGCATTCACCGATTCACACCAAACTTGGTGGGTGTTATGACAACTAGGGTCTGAGGTTATATGCAGAGTTTCGGCGCACTGCCCCCTAGTGGTCCGGAGATACTAAAAACTTGCTTTTTGGCTTATAACGTCTCAACCTTTCGTCCGAAACTCATGAAACTGGTCTCATTACATCCGGCAGAGCATGCTGAGTCGAATGATGTGTGATTTTTACAGGTCAGCCATTTTGGGCGTCGCCCATTTCGATTTTTGCCCAAAAATGCTATATTTTACCAACACATTCACATATCATTACAAAACATGGTATGCATCTTCAACCCCATGCCCTGAAAGTACTCAAAAACGTCTGGAGCAGCGCCACCTTATGGCCAATAGTGCTTGGCCCCTTAATTGCTGCTTGCAGCTATATTTGTAAATTGAGTCTTGAGATCTGCTGTGTACAGGATTTAGGCACAATAAGTAATAATTCTCTTTTATCTGAGTTTAAGAGAAAATTGTTGGTCATCCAGTCTTTAACATCTTTAACACACTCAGTTAGCTTAGACAGTTCAGACATCTCATCAGGTTTAGTTGAAATATATAACTGAGTATCATCTGCATAGCAGTGAAAGCTGATCCCATGTCTTCTAATAATGTCTCCCAGTGGCAGCATGTAAATTGTAAAAGGCAAAGGGCCTAAAACTGATCCTTGAAGCACCCCATACTTTACTGGGCTGACTTGTGAAGGCTGTCCATTAATATTCACAAACTGGTGACGGTCAGTTAGGTCTGAATTAAACCATTGCAGAGCCTGTCCCTGGACACCTTTAAGTGATTTATGAGGATATTGTGGTCAATGGTGTCAAATGCAGCACTGAGATCGAGTAGAACTAATAGCGAGATGCACCCTTGGTCAGCAGCTAAGAGTAGATCATTGGTTATTTTCACTAATGCGGTTTCTGTACTGTGATAATCAGGGCTTATCACAGTACAGAAACCTGATTATATGATGTCATGACTTTGCAATCAAAAAATGTGATTATAATGGAAGTCAATGGGGCAAAAACAGCCCCCAACATCACCAAAGGGAAGTCTATTTGAACAATGCACAAGGGTTAAAGCACAGATGCTGTCTACACACAGAGCTTACATTTATAACAGTGTGTTTAGTGCATTGATTTTAGGTATTGGAAAAAATCGGACATTATTGCGATTTGAATATTATTTCACCGAATGAATTGATAAGTGCTGTTTGGAAAGATTTCATTCATTTACTTAGATTGGGATGATCAAGTCTGTTTCTATGCAGTGTGTTTGCATACATTATAATAAATTACAAGCATATATAAATACGACAGAGCAGAGATAAAAGTTAAATATCCCATGCATAGAGTGTAAAAATATGGATAAAATAGCATGGTCATCATTGCATAAGTAATTTAAAAATACCACATTTAATAATATCTTTATCCTTTAAGCTTTATTAAATAAACTAATTATGTGATGTGACTATTGCAGATACACACAATGCCATATCGATGCTTAAATAATATATTGTGCAGACATAATTGATAAGTGTGTGCCGTGTTTCAGAACTGCTCAGTTATAATGTGTCAGCGTTGGAGCAGCTGTGAAACTTTTGTTAATATTATGTAAACTCGATGCACAGTAAAAATTACTAATATCATTAAATGAAACCAGCAACAATCAAGAATATATACTGTCATGGCTTTGCAGTCAATAAATGTGACTATAATGGAAGTCAATGGGGCAAAAACAGCCCGCAACATCACCAAAGAGGAGTCAATTTGAACAATGCACAAGGGTTAAAGCACAGATGCTGTCTACACACAGAGCTTATATCTGTAACAGTGTTTTAGTGCATTGATGTGTGTGTGGTGTGCTTCAGGACTGGTCAGTTATAATGTGTCAGTGTTGGGCGGCTCTAAGGCGGCTGTGAAAGTGACGCTCTCAGCGAAGGACGGCAGATGCGTGGCCTCGTCTGAAGGCCTCAGTGGAGTCCTCAAAATCACAGACGTCAACCTGTGGTGGCCTTACCTGATGCACGAGAACCCCGGATACCTGTACTCCATGGAGGTTAGAAAACTCTCTCAGACACTTCCAAGGGTATTTAAAGGGACAGTACACCCAAAACTGAAATATCTGTCATCATTTACTACCCTTTACTTGTTTCAATCCTTTATGAGTGTCTTTCTCCTGTTGAACACAAAAGAAGATATCGTGAAGAAAGCTTTTTGCTAGCTCGGGTAAATATTATTTAAAAAACTTCAGATTAGTAAATATATAGAAACTGACAGTATTTAGGATTCATCACAAGTAGGCCTGTTCCAATAATCAATATAGGGACTTATTGAACAACACATGGACATGAGCTCAATCAATTCTGGTGATGGAATATATATCACCCATACGTAAAGACAATATCAGCAACATTTGAGCTGATTGTGCATCATCTCTATCTATATATAGTTATTAAACACTGTAGTATTTGCTATAAATGAATGACTACGGTATATTTTCATATGGGTGACAGCTGAAAATAGATCTGGTAGCAGATATCACAGCCTCTGTTACTCTTCAAGAGTTCACACTAAGCTGATAATTGATAATAAAGATAGTTTGGCGTGCTGTCCCGGGAGAGAGCACTGAGCTTATAAGATCCTCGAGCCCTGGGCTCCCACCCGTTGCAAGGCGAGAGGGGAGTTTGAGCTCAGGTAGATCTTGATGGCTCCCCCTCTTGCTTATTGTAGCTAAGTGTCGTATATGGATGATAAGAAGGTGTACTCAGAGTTTGGCTAAAGTATTTTGGATTAATTGTTTAGGGTGGTTGTTTTCTGAACTGTGGAAGGAAACCGGAGGACCAGGGGAAAACCCAAGTGATCACGGGGAGAACGACCAAAACTCCACACAGAAATGCCTCCTGGTTTAGAAAGGAATTAATCCAGGGGCATTCTTGCTGTGAGGCAACAGCACTAATCACTGGCCACCGTGTCGCCCGTTTGAAAAGAGGGAATGTATGGTTGGGTAGGGGGGGTTTCTTCAAGACGGAGATATTGAGATGAGAAAAGTCTGGTTATTTAGAGTGAGTTAAGGATCGTCTGATAGGATAATTAGTCACTAGCTAAAGTTTGAACAGCTGTGAGCAATCATAAGCACGTGATCCTCTCGAAATTTGTTTATAAATAAACTTCACCAACATTTATTATTGTTTATTTAGGAGATGAGTTTTCACATTCTGACTCCAGTGTCTCATTTTTAAGCTGTTCAAATGACAATAATTAAATGAAAAATTCCTAATAATTAAATATGATGTGTTCTCTGGAAGAGTGTACTTGCATTGTAATATTATTTTGTCATTCTGGCATTATGTAATGAGTGATTGTCTTAAAATGACAATAATATTGTTTATCGCAAAATATTTTAGTGCAATATATTGTACGACAAAAAATAGATATCGTGACAGGCCTAATAACAAGTGCTTTGGTTAATTAATACTTCAGTAATACAAAACTACTTCTAATAATAATAAATAAAATGTTTAATAAATGATTTAGTTAAAATAAAATCAGCCACCAACTAAAATTCACTCAAAAACAAAACAAAAAATGATAAATTTTTGTAAATTAAAACTAAAGTTCATTAACTGATTTGCTTCCAGCGTTGTTTAAAAAAAAACAAATGTCTTTTTTCATGTATTAAAATGGTTTGGTTTATAATATATTATAATAAACATAGCTGTTGATTGTTACATGCAAATAAAGGGAAATGAAGTATCTGCTTGAGCAACATGTGATGCCAGTGGTTTTGTTCTGCTGTTTCTGTAGGTTCAGGCGATCGCAGAAGACGGACAGACGGATATTTACACTCTTCCTGTGGGCGTTCGTACTGTTCAAGTCACCAGATCCAAGTTTCTCATCAACAACAAGCTGTTTTACTTCCACGGGGTCAACAAACACGAGGATGCAGACGTGAGTGCCAGCAGAGGGCAGCACAAACACACTGCACAAAACACGTTGCATTCAATTGCATTGGGGTTTTTTGGCATGTAAGGCCATTGAATGAATATGCACATACTTATTTGTACAAATCTGCCATGAAACAATGTGATTACAGAACAAAAGCAGAAAGAGAGAGAGAGATGAGAAAATTATTTTAGGTTGCTTTTAAAGCGATAGTTCACCCAAAAATGTACATTCTGTCATCATTTACTCATCTTGTTTGAAAACCTGTTTGAGTTTCTTTCTTCTGTAATGAAGATTTTATGAAAAATGCTGGAGAAAAAAACATCAAAATGCTAAATGCAAACCTCAATGGCTGCAATTCTCCAACATTCTTCAGTATATCTGGTTTAGTGCTCAGCAGAAGTTTGTAACCACTTATAAGGCTGGATGAAGAGTAAGGTAATTTTTTTGGTCAACTGTCCCTTTAAGAGCTTGGATGTATTTTTAAAGGGGTCACAGTTAAACTACATTTTTTTAAAAATTTTGTACAGTTCTTAAAGCTCATTGCAACAATTACCTAATTACTGTGCTGATATGGCCCTCATCAGAATGCTCTGTTTTAATGGGCGTGGTCAATTGATAGTTTTTAGTCATGTGACCTGTGTGGAGACCTGTTCATGTGGGGAAAAACAATGAGCCGTAATGGCGGCTACACTGGGATCTCCTTAGTATTTTTTTGTTCTTACTATTGATGTCAATGGCTGATTTTCTCCAACATTCTTTGGTATATCTTGTTTTGTTGGGGTTTAACCCTGGCGTCCTGGCCAAATTTGCCCACTGGCATCCATCCATCGTGGCCTCCTAACCATCCCCATATCATAATTAGCTTCATCACGCTGTCTCTTCTCCACCAATCAGCTGGTGTGTGGTGTGCGGTCTGGTGCAACATGGCTGCTGTTGCATCATCCAGGTGGATGCAGCACACTGGTGGTGGATGAGGAGATTCCCCCCACTTTGCAAAGCATACCTGTCAACATTGGGATGTGAAAATAAGGGATATGCCTACCATAATAAGAGATCCCCCCCCCCCCAGCAAATACATTAGCAAACAGGTCAGCTTATTAAAATTAATAGCTATAAAATTAAATAGAATCAAGCTAAGTATGATTTACACATTCTGATTAAAGAGCAACGAATGAATCTCATTTATTAAGATATTTAATAATTACATTAAATAAGAGGCGTCACTTTAAAAATGCACGCATATAACGTTATAATGAAAGCATTCGACTGCTTTACTGACTTTTTATGCTCATTTAAGACGAAATTAGTTGTGTTTGGAAAAAAACCCCACCAAGATCGACATCCTTACATGTTATTATTAATTATGTGTGTTTAAACACGCACCCAAAAGCCAGACTTTCTCTCCGCTTCAAATGGCGTGTACAGAATCCGTTTGCGAAACAGCATCCGTTTATCACTATGGAGCGCATCAGCAGACACTGTTTTGAGGATTGTATAGGATGGGTGACGGCACCTGTAATGAAAAGGAAAGGGAATCGCACCGTTTTTAATATTTATTTATAAGCGTTTTCATTACTAAACTAAGCGAAAGCACAGAAGACTCACGTTTTAGAGCAAGGGGCGACCCCTGGTGGTTCGGCGGTATGGGTTGCGTATAGTGGTCTCGGCTGTTCAGAGAAAGACTGAAAAAATGGGAGAAATACGGGAATGATCTTATACGGGATGATAGCAGGATAGAACAGTAAAATACGGGAGAATCCCGGGAAAAACGGAAGGGTTGACAGGTGTGTTGTAAAGTGCTTCGAGTTTCCAGAACAGTGCTATATAAATTTAATTAATATAATGGTTATTATTAAGTAGGATTTTTTTTTTATTTCTTAATAACCTACTGTAAATTACAACCATTAACAATGCATGTGATTTATATATGAGATTAGAATACGTGTTAGCTTGTTGTTAGTGATTTTATGTTTTAGAATAGAATATGGAATATTCTCATTAATATTTGTAAGGGAAACACAGTCTCTATATGTGCCATTTACGTTTATTTCGGTTAATATGGAAAACGAGTGCATGTTTTTACCAAAACTAACAATTTTTTAAATGTGTGTGTGTAAAACAATATGATTGTTTATTTTCTCTAAAAAAAGTCGTTACACCACCACACAGAGCATCATTATGGGCGTTTTACACTATAACTAATTTGATAAGCAGATATTAGGAGGACCAGAAAGTGTTGAGTTCTGAACTTTACAGGTTGTTTTTATAGTACTATGAGCTCTAATATATCCAGTGGTGGATTGAGTACTGAAAAAGCATACTTAAGTATAAGTACCATTACTTGCCTAAAAATGTAGTGTGAGTAGAGTAAAAGTACCTGTTGTAGATATTACTCAAAGTAGGAGTAAAAAGTAGCCCTTTTAAAAGTACTCATGAGTAGTGAGTATTACGCTGTTAAGAGTTGATGCATTTACATGTAATTTGTGGATGTGTGTGTAAACGTAACATTCTGTAGTGGATTTAGTTATTGCCCTGCAGGTACACAATGCCATCAGACATTAATATTAGGTTAGATTTAGGTTGTGATGTCAGGTGACCAAAATTCAATGTCTAGCCAGCGTCTAAGGACAACAATGTTTTGATGTCCAATAATGACATCAAATGATGTTGATATTTGGTTGATTTTAGGTTGTTGGAAAGTGACCAAAATCCAACGTCAAGTCAACATCTTAAACCAGCATCCTATTGATGTCAAATACTGACATTTATTCATCAGTTATGGCAACCAAAATTCAACATCTGATAGACGTCATAGTGGTAATGTCTACACAACGTCAAGCTGTAACATCATTAGATGTTGATATTTGGTTGGTTTTAGGTTGGACATTGACATCTGGCTGACGTTGAGTTCTGATGTAAATCTGATTTTCATTTCCAAACTAAATGCAGCGTCTTAATGACGTTACGGTACAATTTCAATCTGACGGCATGTTGACGTCTAGTGTCTGCTGGGTGTTTAAGGCCATTTCGGTCATCATACTGTAAATATCCATCATCTTTTCTTCAGTGATCTGCATTTAAACCAGGGGTGCACATACTCGGTCCTGGAGGGCCGGTGTCCTGCAAAGTTTAGTTCCAATCCCAAGTAGACGCACCTGGGCTAGCTGATCAATCTCACACTAGGCTTTCTAGAAACATCCGTGCAGGCGTGTTGAGGCAAGTTGGAGCTAAAATCTGCAGGACATCGGCCCTCCAGGACTGTGTTTTGGCATCCCTGATCTAAACAGTCTCTGGGTCAATGCGTGTACAGATTTTGAACATCTTCTTGGACACTTTTAATGCTTCCAAACAGTTTGCAGCAATGTAAATCGCTCATGTGTTGAGGTAGTTCATTATGATGTGATTTACCTTCTATGTGTGATTTGATTAGACAGGAATTACTGGACTGATTTTTCTAATCCCCATAAACAAGAAAAAATACAGTAGTGACTGCAGATTGAAGGAAAGTAGAGGAGTAAAAGTACAGATACTGCAGTAAAAATGTACTCAAGGAAAAGTAAAAATGCTCATTTATAAAACTACCTAGTCAATTACAATTTCTAAGAAAAGCTACTCAATTACAGTAACTTGAGTATTTGTAATGAGTTACTTTACACCACTGAATACATCAAAACATAAAGGGAATTTAGGGTTTTCAGTTTATGACCCATTTAAACCCGGCGTGTGGTAAAACGAGCTGAATCCAGATGTTTACACACCCACTTTACCCACAGGCCTGCGTGCTGTGGTTGTGTTATCATAGCTGATGTTTGGCCAGAGTCAAAGGTCACGGACACACACTGATCCTCACGCAGCTGTTATTATGAGGGAAATTCAGCTTTAGACTTTTTTTGTTAAATACTATATAGTGATTTATAGTAAATAATAAAGTATTTTTGAACCATATTATAGTTTATTATACTGTATATATTACAGTATTTACAACTCTTTGTGAATGAATGCTCCAGCATACTGTAGTATTAACTATAGTAAACTAATAAACTGTAATGTAGTATACTTTAGTTTTACTATAGTAAACTGGTGTGTATAATATATCTTCTATCTGTACAGTATTGGGTCTAGGAATGCTTAAAATAATCAATTAACCGTTAACCGAAAGGGTGCGTTTGTAACCGATTAATGCTATCAGTTAAACGATTAAAAAATATTATTTGATATATTTTTAGTTTGGCTGCATAACGGGGTGATTGAATGGGCTTTTTTGCGTTAAGAGGGGCGTCTTTTGAATGGTTTACTAACGGCTGCAAATGTTTTGGGTGTGACTCATCCCAGAGCAGCAGTGTTTGTGTTGTCAAGACGACTACAGAGAACTTTTAAAGACGTAGGAGAAACTAGTGCTCGCTAGTGCTCAAGTTATCCAGAGCTGTATGACTTTACAAATCTTGAATATCACAATATTATTAAATATTACAACATCAATACCCAGCTGATCCAGTCGTTTCCTAGTGACATAAAAAAGACCACCGTCAACATCTGCATGCGTTGTCATTGTCTTTTCATCAGGCAGTGCGCGCACTTGAATCGCGAGGAAACCATATATCAAGACATAATCTTTAAAATAATGATTTCTATTAAAAATGTAAAAAGGTTTTGTGATTATAATAATAACAGTGGAGCATTAAATAAATGCAGATTATTAGTGGAGCGAGCGATTTGAGGTAGTCTGCTATTTTTATTTGACGGAAGATAAAAACATATGATTGGAAAAAAAAACAGCCTATGCCGGTTCTTAAAAAGGATCTGTCAGTGTTTTCGTTTTGTAATCATTGAGGGGAAAATAATTTAGCTCAGGTTTTATTTTATTCTGTTTATTTAGTTTATTCTGTTCTTCTATGCTGTTGGAAACACTGCATGTGCATGAAGATGCTCTGTTTTTATGTTCTGTTATTAATATGCTATGTTAAAATAAATCAGTATTTTAAAATGCAATATTTAAAATAAAATATTTAAACACGTCAATTAAAAATATTTATAATAATAATATTAATCTGGCCAGTTAACCCTTAATATCCGATTAACGAGCGGCGGTTGTCGGTTAGCAGAATTAACCGAACAGTAAATTAATAATTATTATTAATTACCTCAGGAGATTAATTCAGTACTTTACTATAGTATGGTTCATAAACACTATTAATTACTGTAAATTACTACAGCTTTTTTCATGTGGGTTTCTTTTTGAGTAATTATGAGTCTAATTTTAGTAGCATATAGCAATTACATTCAACTATATATAAACTAAAAGGTTTCTCCCATGGCTAAATTGTAATGCTAGTCTTTCTGATGAAAGTAAAGGAGAACATGTGCATTATAATGATTAATAGGGATTCAAATGACAAATTACTATAATAAAGATTTAAAATAGTTTAAAAAAATGACCAGAGAAATAAAACCAGAGCTGGGCTGATTAATTTAAATTGCAATTAGTTTCTGAAAAATAAAAGTCCTGACTCTCTGTGGTCATTATTAATCCCATGGCACTTCTCGTGAAAGAGCAAGGGTGTAACCCCGGTGTCCTGGCCAAAGTCCCTCTATCAGCCCTTACAATCATGACCTCCCAATCATCCCCTTCCACTGAATTGGCTCTATCACTGTCTCTCCACTCCACCAATAGCTGGTGTGTGGTGAGCGCACTGGCGCTGTTGTCCTGTGGCTGCCATTGGATCATCCAAGTAAGGCTGCACACTGGTGGTGGTGTGGAGAGACCCCCCTCATGATTGTGAAGCGCTTTAGGTGTATGGCCATACATAATAAATGCGCTATATAAATACACATTACATTACATTAAAAATGTACATGATAAAATGAGTAGTTTACACATTATTACATATTTATGGCAATGTAATCTGACTACGTTTGTATTACTTAACGCATAACTTTTGCGCTAACCCTTATTTGACGTCACATACATTCAAGTTGGATAATCCTGTGCTATTTTGCCAGATATAAAAATATATTATATTTATTTTTAGCAACAAAACCCTCAACAGCTTGTGTTTAAAGTGCAATGATGAACAGTTAATATTTCACAATAATCATACAATAATATACCTCGCTGTCGCTTTATCATCCACGCACTACAATAATGTTGTACATTTTTTCATTCATTCATTTTCTTTTTGGCTCAGCCCTTTTATTAATCCGGTGTCGCCACAGCGGAATGAACCGCCAACTTATTCAGCCTGAACTCACGAGAAAACGTAAGTATTTTACGTTTTGCCAGTTTAGTGGCTAATTCGTACGAGTTCAGTCGTACGAAATTGTACGATTTTAAAAAGGAGGCGTGGCTCCTAACCCCACCCCTAAACCCAACCGTCATTGGGGGATGAGCAAATCATACTAAAATGTACCAATTAGATCGTACGAATTCCTACGAATTAACTACTAAATGAAAAAGTTACGAATTGTCGTGAGATTGTGTTGGTTTTACCCAGCGGATACCCTTCCAGCTGCAACCCATGTCTGGGAAACATCCACACAAACTCGTTCACACTCATACACTACGGCCAGTTTAGCCTACCTAATTCACCTGTACCACATGTTGTTGGACTTGGAAGGGAAACCGGAGTACCCGGAGAAAATCCACACCAACATGGGGAGAACATGCAAACTCCACACAGAAACGCCTTACTTCTTACTGTGAAGCGATTGTGCTACCCATATGTAACCTAACTCAGGTTGCAAGCCATTCGTTTATATCATCTAATACAATTCTAATTACAACTGCGTGATTTTCGTAATCAGATCACATAATCTAGATTGTATATAATCCGTCAACACCTAATAACCTGGTTTGCAGCATGTTTTTCATGAATGCTGCTGTTTGCGTGCAGATTCGAGGGAAAGGCTTCGACTGGCCTCTGGTGGTGAAGGATTTTAACCTGATGAAGTGGATGGGAGCCAACTCCTTCCGCACCAGCCACTATCCGTACGCTGAGGAGATCCTGCAGACGGCGGATCGACACGGCATCGTCATCATCGACGAGTGTCCGGGAGTCGGCATTAAAGACATGTAGGAGCTTTAACAATTCGATTTTTATCCGTACTTTCAGTGCCTTTGTGTCGGTCACACTTTTCAATAAGTAGGGGTGTGACGGGCTCATATAATCCAGGGGTGTTCAAACTCAGTCCTGGAGGGCCGGTGTCCTGCAGATTTTAGCTCCAACTTGCCTCAACACACCTGCAAGGATGTTTCTAGAAAGCCTAATAAGAGCTTGAATAGCCCAGGTGTGTCTGATTGGGGTTGGAACTAAACTTTGCAGGACACCGGACCTCCAGGACTGAGTTTGGACATCCCCAATATAATCAAATAACATGTGTGTTTTTGTTTATGTGTGTGTGCGTGTGTGTCTCAGACGCAGTTTCGGTAATGTTTCTCTGGCTCATCATCTGACCGTGATGGAGGAGCTGGTCAGACGTGATAAAAACCATCCGTCTGTGGTCATGTGGTCGGTGGCCAATGAGCCGGCGTCTGAAATGCCGCCTGCGGGACTCTACTTTAAGTAAGACCAACTAAACATCAGCCGTTCATTTACATGCACACAGCCAGTTGCAATGCCGTATTTTGTATTAGGCCTGCACAATATATAGTTTCAGCATTGATATCACCATGTGCACATCATCCGCAATAGTCACATCGCAGGATGTGTAATGTTGTGTTGATATTGTAGTTCACCTGGAGCCACAATTGCCAAGAGTAATAGAGTCAAAATGATGTGCGTGTGTTTTAAGACCGGTGATTGTGTGAGCAGTTCTGGACAGTTTAAAGCAGGGGTTTTCAAACTGTGGGTCAGGACCCACTAGTGGATCGCACAGTGAACAAAGGTGGGTCGCGCAACGTCACATAGCTGCAGATATATTTACATTGCGGTGAATCAAAACCAGTACGATTGACGGCAATAATTCAAAAACCTCTTATCCTAACAAGATCTAAAGTGTGTTTCCTACAAAAAGACGAAGCTGGTTATGTTTCACAGCTGTCTCTTTCTTTCTTTTTTCGCTCGACATGACGACCACTGCTCTGTTTGAGCTCTCGCAATCTGCGTTTAGCCAGGAGAGCTCACACAGAGCGGAGCTCTCAGTAAGGGACCGTCGGAAAAGTGCTTATTTTTTTCTTTTTTGTTTTTGCTCCGTCCTGCATGTTTTATTTTAAACACAACTAATTTTCTCTTAAATGAGCACAAACAGTTCCTAAAGTAGTCGAATGCTTCATTATAGATCTGTGCATTCTTACATGAACAGCTCTGTTATCAAACAAAACACAATGAGAGATTCACTAGCTGCTCTTCACTAAGTAACTATAGTAACTTTAATCAATATGCAAATACAATCAAAAGTGAAGTAGATTTTATAGCTTTATTTAATTTCTGTATAGGCCATTGATTTTAATAGGCTAAACCTTTTATTTCATTGTCAATATTTTCTAATGTTTGCTATGTATTCTATAATTTGAAGCTATTTGTTGTCCAATATTTTTTACATCCCAACATTGACAGATTGCTAATCAATAAATAGCTATAGTGCTCTCTGTTAGTTTTAACGTCAGCTAATGTTATGGAAGGGCATAGATGTTATGGAAAATATAGTAATGTAACTGCCCCCATCATTCCTTCCTCAAGCAAATGTGTAAATATTAGATCTATTCAGCAATAATGTTATTTGCATTGGCATATTTATCTGACGTTTTCCCAGCTTGTAGTAGTCGATCAAAAGCGATTTAGTTTCTTATGACTACACACTAGCAGTGGAATTTACTGCGATGTGACGGGGCTTGATCATCGTATTCTCTTCTGGAAAAAGAAGAGTATCTTTTTCAACAAAAAAAATTTTCAGAGTTACAGCCAGCATCCCACAAAAAGCACTTCGAGCCTCATTTTGTGCATATCAAATAGCAAAATCCAAAAAGCCTTTTGACTGCTTTGAATGGACACATTTTTTTACCAATTTTTCCATATTAAAATATTATGGTGGGTCTTGAGATTGAATTACTTGCCCAGGTGGGTCCCGGATTAAAAAAGTTTGGGAACCCCTGGATTAAAGGAATTAGAGACGAGACATTTTATAACTTTAGTGAAGGTTAAATTTATGGAATCACCAATATGATTAAGACTATATTTACATTAGTTATTAAATTGCTGTAGCTGTTTATTCATTCATTCATTTCCTTGTCAGCTTAGTCCCTACAACAACGACATTCTGGCTTAAAAAAAATCCTCAACAGTACATGATGTTGACAACCGCTGCAATATTTATCAAACTGTAGTGAGTTTATTGATCTGCTGTCACTCTATATGAGTAATACACAAGGGTGAAGAAGGCTGTACGACTGCCAGGTGTACATATATATATATATATATACATATACACACATATATATATATATATATATATATATATATATATATATATATATATATATATATATATATATATATATATATATAGGCAAGGCAGGGCAAGTTTATTTATATAGCACATTTCATACACAGTGGCAATTCAAAGTGAACAAGAATAAACAAGAATAAAAGAATTAAATTAATTCAAGAATATTAAACAAGAATAAAAGAAACAAGTAAATAAAAAATAAAAACAAATAATAAAAATGCGTAAAAAAACATAAAAAGCAGGTAAAATGTGATATAAAAGAATGAAGAAGAAGAGAAAAACATGATAGTGCGATCTGTCGGATGCAGCACAGTATATATATATATATATATATATATATATATATATATATATATATGTATATATATATATATATATATACAATGATGATGGTTGAAATGATAATTATTGTTAAAAGCGCTATACAAATAATCTTGAACTTATTTTAATTTTGAATAATATTTAGTATGTGAATTAGATTGCAGCTACAGTCAAACAGTTACATGCAAACAGCTAATTGCAATATTCCAATATTTTGCATGAAAGACTGCTTAAAACCCTGCTCAAAAACAAGCTTCTCTTAATTGTGTGGCATTTACTTGGTGTGTGTGTGTGTGTGTGTGTGTGTGTGTGTGTGTGTGTGCGCGCGCGTGCGTGCGTTTGTTTTTCTGTAATCGCAAATTCCAGGAGGGACTGATAATATGTGTGTGTGTTTTCATGTCCGGCTGTCGTTTTGCCAGTTATAATGCATCATAATCAGTGGCCTTGTGTGTGTTTGTGTGTGTATTCCTTTCCTGTTCAGCGAGTGTAATGAATGTCTTCAGGTAGAAACACCTGCTCTGACACTCATTTTCATACCTGAGCATTTTCACATGCAGCGAGTCTAATAATACAGTCTCTACACACTAAAATAAATCTATTTTTCAATATTTTGTGTTTCATGTTTTGATTTTTCCCCGTTTACTTCTGCTTTTGAATTGCGTTATGGGAACTAGATCTTTAGATCAACTTTTAACCATGAAAAGACAGAGAAATGTACTTTTCTGAACATTTATAATAGTGTGCAGTGCTCTATTGCCTGTGTTGGTGATGTATATTACGCTACAAACACCTTGTGATAAACTGCAGCACATTTCTGTTATTTTACACACTCATTACTCTAGATATTATTTCCTATACATGATATTATTATTGTCATCATGAGAATGACAACCCATAATGCAATTCACAACCGCAAATAAACACTTGTGAATCGTACAATACTGTTCATTGATGTTTACACCTAGAAGGTTATTGGTTTGAGTCCCAGCTGGGTCAGTTGGCATTTCTGTGTGGAGTTTGTATGTTCTCCCTGTGTTGGCATGGGTTTCTTCCGGGTGCTCCAGTTTCCCCCACAGTCCAAACACAGTAGTGTATGTGTGAATGAGTTTGTATCGGTGTTTCCCAGTACTGGGTTGGTGGTTCATTCCGCTGTGGCGACCCCTGATAAATAAGGGACTAAGCTGAATGAAATTGAGTCTATTTGCAGTTGTACTATTTGCATTAAGTATCGTCTCTTTTAAGAGTTGTTCTGTTTTGCGCAGGGAGCTGATCTCTCATACGAAGTCTCTGGATTCCAGTCGTCCCGTCACATTTATTACTGACAGCAACTACGCCAGAGATCAAGGGGTGAGACGACACTTCTTTATATACAGTACATCTGTCATTTCTGTGTGTCAGAGTAGGACTGCATGATATTGGAAAAATCAGACACTGCGATATTTAGTTTTACAGTCATATATGACTTTTTTTTTTTTACCTCTATTTGGTATTAATTTATATTGATTGTGATGTCTCTGTAGGGAAGTCAGTCATGCATGCAATGAAAATAAATAAATTGCAAGTGTAGAAAAATGCAATAGAGCAGAGCTTCTCAAACCTTTTCCATCAAGTACGACCTCAGAAAAGAATTGCCTCTCCAAGTACCACCATAATGAGCAGTATTGAAATACAGTAGCGCAATAGGCCCAATAAAGCAGCTACAACTCTGCACAGTTCAAAAATGTGGCAGATTAATTATTAAGAATATTTATTATTGTCAGCCACTTTAGTTTAAACATTATAAATAGTCTGAACATTAACACTGTACTGTGCTTATATGTAAAATAAAAAAAACATCAACATTAAAATAAATTGTGCTTTTAAAAGTTAAAAATACTAGGTTACTGTTCTTAAAATGAAAATTGCTAATTTAAGGACGGGAAATCTGCCTTGCGCTTCGGCGCATGGTCTAAAAGGGTTGAGTTTATTTTCTTAATGAGTTATAGGTGTGTTTTGAGAATAAACCAATCAGAGTCTCATCTCCCATTCCCTTTAAGAGCAGCTGAGCGCGCCAAGAGCGCATTCGCTATTTACAGGACGCAAAGTAAGTCTAAGTGGAAAAACTGAGCATTTCACAAGCAAACAGTTCACAGTGTTTTAACAGAAAACTGTTAATCAGAGCATCTACTGCGTGAGAATGAGAGATAATGGATCACTTTCACTTTCACTCTTGGATAGGGAAACCTTTACGCACAGACATCAATTAGTCTATAAATAATTAATTTTGTTTGTTAAGCGCAAATATTCGTTTCAAAACTATTTCTAAATTCAGTTCTAATTTCCAGCAAACTAATAAATGAACAATAATAACAAAATGTGCTCAAAAACCTGAGTTATATCCTAAAACACATGCTGAGCCCCATATGGTCTAAAACCTGACAGGTGGGCAAATCTAAGCTTGTTTTTAATAAAACAAATATAAATATGGATATAATAAATAATACTGCTAATAATAATAACATTATACAAAAGCAAATTGTTATGAATGAACTGAAAAAGCCTCCCGAGATGAAGAAGACATAAAAGCAGTGATTTTTCATATTTATGTAGGCTAGAAAATAATATGTTTTGTAATATTTTAATCCTTTATATTTATATCCTATATCTATTCTTATTATATCCTATATATATCCTTAATATTTACATTTTTTCATATGTAAAGATATTTGCCTATTGCTCTCTTGTGTGTATTAAGCAGTGTGTCAGTGAGGTGCAACTCTGCGCTGGAGTTTAGACCGCGTTTGTTTTGGTCTAATGAAAAATCTATTATAGTTTCTCAAAATAGCAACGCTCCAGCGGTCCGCCTCAGAACACCTTCCTTTTTAGACCAGAACACCTATGAGCGCACAAATGCACATATTTAAACAGCGTAGCGCAACGCCTCAAAACGATTCTTGCGCAAACCTGAAACTAGCAAATGACTATTGCGCCGCGTCTTGCGCCGGGTGTATGATAGGGCCCTGAGAATGCATCCGTGACGGAAATGCGACCTCTAGTGGACAGTAGCAGACTCTGAAATGAGACGCAGATTCAGAGTTCCACATGAGGTTATTAATTAGCAAATAATATAAATATTACGAACGTAAACATTAGGTGAGCAGGTTAGACTGAAACCCCGTGTCCTAACAACACGCTACATGGCGAGATACGCAGTGATAAGCAATTTGGCTGTTTGCACCAGACGAAACCATTCTGAAGCACAGAATAATGCACTTACTGCACTCCAACAAAATAGTATACAGGTTTACAGTCTAATGAATACATATTAAACCTCTTTACATGATTAAAAGTAGATGCTGAATCACTGATATGTGTTGGTTTGCATTTAGTCTCAGTTCTGAAGTTCAATTTCAAACAGTTTATTTTATTTTCCAGACCTGAGCTGAACTATCTGCTGCTGCTTTCAGTAGTATGGCAATAAATGTGATGTAAAATGGCATTCAGACTCACATTATTAGCATTGAACACTGAATAAAGCACATGAGGTGTAGCTGAGCTGATCATTGTCATTTATCTTTGATTGGTCTCACGCGATCAGCTGATGTGCTTTTACAGGTAAGAATTCACCAAGTTTGAACTCTCGAATGCAATGAAATGTGAAACTTGTCACACCTGCTTGCGTTTCTGGTCTGCCGCATTCGCATGTGTAATGGAGGCATGATAGTGTGTGCTGTGCAGGTAAACCTCACTCCTCTGACCTCTAAAAGGTGCTCTAGCGACAGATGCTAGAGGCCATGGTCTATCCGCTTGTTAAGTGTGACGTCACGCGGAGCGGCTTCCAGGTCCGAGCGCTCTATTCAACTGAATGGGGAGACTCATGAAATGGTAATAATAAACGTTTACAAAGCGATTTAAGGCTTTCGAAAGTCACGATCGCAATATATATGTCCATGCCTAATATCCGATAGCCAGAAAGTAATTCATTTCTTTATAAATTGTTAAATTTTTGGTATTTGTTATGCAGCAAGCCCAGAGATTGTTGTATACATTATGACTTTATGTAAAATTTACTTTAATGTGTGACAGGAATAAAACGTGATCATAAACGAATGATTTTCTCCACAAATGAATGGCGGCTTGGAAACGGAAACAGTAAAGATACATCACAAACACGTCACCACTTAACAAGCGGAGAGCCTCCTTGGTAGAGTGCCCGACTCCCATGTGGAAGGTCGCTAGTTCAAAACCAGCTCGGAGCGGGTTGGGTGGTGTAGAGCCGGCGGGGTTACACATGCCTGTGAATGGAAGTCTATGGAGCGAAAAGTGCAGTGTGATCCCGGCTTTATAATAGGAGTAGTTTTACCTACTATAACTAATTTAACACACGATTAACATCATCTAAAATTAGTTTGACAAATATCTGTGTACTGGAATGGAGGTCATTTGTTTTTACTTCTTTTCTTGGCCAAAAGCATGGTCTCACATTACAAGTGTTGTGTAAGCATCATCAATTTTACATAGATATAAAAATAAATTAAAACTAAAGAGATTGTTGCGAGTTTTATGATATGGTGCTGTTGGAACAAAAACTCCTTTCAATATGAAAATATTCCTTGTGCCGTTGCTTTTATTCATTCATTCATTCATTTTCTTGTCGGTTTAGTCCCTTTATTAATCCGGGGTCCCCACAGCCGAATGAACCGCCAACTTATCCAAGTTTTTACGCAGCGGATGCCCTTCCAGCCGCAACCCATCTCTGGGAAACATCCACACACATTCACACACACACACTCATACACTATGGACAATTTAGCCTACCCAATTCACCTGTACCGCATGTCTTTGGACTGTGGGGGAAACCGGAGCACCTGGAGGAAACCCACGCGAAGGCAGGGAGAACATGCAAACTCCACACAGAAACGCCAATTGAGCCGAGGTTCGAACCAGCGACCTTCTTGCTGTGAGGTGACTGCACTACCTACTGCGCCACTGCCTCGCCCGCTGTTGCTTTTATATTAAACATAATTTGAATCAGCCTTTAGGCCTGATAGACTCGCTTCTGTTTGTCTTTAATCTGGCAACCTGCGCTTCCATTTGTTCTGATCCAGGCATGCAATACCTAGTTTTGCCACTGGGTGTCAAAATTACATACTGCACCTTTAACATATCGCATTTATGTACTTCAATACTGTTCGACTCCACTGAAAACCATAAAGTGTTTTTTTTTTTCATTTTTATTTTTGATTTGTTGTTTTCATCTGTGCTTAAACTATTTTATTTTGTTCATTTATGCAGATGCACTCAACTACAAATCATTACAATCAATATAAACTCTCTTGACATGCTCACAGTCAACTAGCTGTAAAAACACGTGCAACTCAGTAACTTTCACTTCATTATGGGTCAAATTTTAGTGACAAATCCACAAATGTAGTGACAAATCCTGTATCATGAAGTGTAGTGCTGCTCAGCTATTGCGAATACACACACATTGCGAGACCACTGCTGAACCCAAATATTGTGCAGTCCTGGTGCAGAGTAATCATTTCACAAGCTACTGTACAGGCTGAGCGTGTGACTCGACCCGTGTAAACATTCTTATCTTATATTGTGTTGAGCGGAGCTGCGGGAGATCTGCGTCATCCACATCCAGCGCTGACACACACGTTTCTCAAATTTACTCTAGATTATTCTCCTGAAACACATTCACTCTAGTTTGTTAGATTACACACACACACACACACACATGCACACACACACGCACACACACTCCCGCAGGCCTTTATATAGGTTTATGATATGAGGAAACTGTGCTTGTCTGATCTTTTGTGTTTGGATGGATGGATGGATGGATGGATGGATGGATGGATGGACAGACAGACAGACGGGTGGATAGACAAATGGATAGATGGACAATAGATGATTAATAGATAGATAAATAGACAGGCAAATGGATGGATGGATGGATGGATGGATAGACAGGCAGAAAGAAAGGCAGATAGATAAACAGGCAGATGGATAGATGGATTATAGATGGATGGATAGAACAAAAGATAGACAGACAGGTGAAAAGATAGACAGATGGATGAATCGACAGGCAGAAAAAAAGTCAGATGGGAATGAAGATTGAAAGATGGATAGATGATAGACAGATGGATGGATAGACAGGCAGAAAGACAAATGGATGAAAGAATAATTGAAGGATAGATAAATGGACGGATGGACGGATGGATGGATGGATGGATGGATGATTGATAGATAGATAAATAGACATGGATGGATGGATGGATGGATAGACAGACAGACATATAGATGAATGGATGGATGGATGGATGGATGGATGGATGGATGGATGGATGGATGGATGGATGGATGGATGGATGGATGGATGGATGGATGGATGGATGGATAGATAGATGGATAGATAGATAGATAGATAGATAGATAGATAGATAGATAGATAGATAGATAGATAGATAGATAGATAGATAGATAGATAGATAGATAGATAGATAGATAGATAGATAGATAGATAGATAGATAGATAGACAGACAGACAGACATATGGATGGATGGATGGATGATTGATAGATAGATAAATAGACATGGATGGATGGAAGGATAGATAGATAGACAGACAGACATATAGATGAATGGATGGATGGATGGATGATTGATAGATAGATAAATTGACATGGATGGATGGATGGATGGATAGACAGACAGACAGACATATAGATGAATGGATGGATGGATGGATGGATGGATAGATGGATGGACAATGGATGATTGATAGATAGATAAATAGACAGGCAAATGGATGGATGGATAGTCAGGGGGAAAGAAAGGCAGAAAGATAAACAGGCGGATGGGTGGATGGATAGATGGACATATAGATAGATGGATGGATGGATGGATGGATGGATGGATGGATGGATGGATGGATGATTGATAGATAGATAAATAGACATGGATGGATGGATGATTGATAGATAGATAAATAGACATGGATGGATGGATGATTGATAGATAGATAAATAGACATGGATGGATGGATGGATGGATGGATGATTGATAGATAGATAAATAGACATGGATGGATGGATGATTGATAGATAGATAAATAGACATGGATGGATGGATGGATGGATAGACAGACAGACATATAGATAAATGGATGGATGAATGGATAGATGGATGGACAATGGATGATTGATAGATAGATAAATAGACATGGATGGATGGATGGATGGATAGACAGACAGACATATAGATAAATGGATGGATGAATGGATAGATGGATGGACAATGGATGATTGATAGATAGATAAATAGACAGGCAAGTGGATGGATGGATAGTCAGGCAGAAAGAAAGGCAGATAGATAAACAGGCAGATGGATGGATGGATATATGGATGGATTATAGATTAATGGATAGAACGATAGACAGACAGACAGTCAGGTGGATAGATAGACAGATGGATAAATCGACAGGCAGAAAGAAAGTCAAAGGCAATGAAGATTGAAAGATGGAGAGATGATAGACAGATGCATGGAAAGACATGCAGAAAGGCAAATGGATGAATGATTGAAGGATAGATAAATGGATGGATGATTAGATTATAGATAAATCAATAGAACAATAGATAGAACGAATGGTGGATGGATGGATAATTGAAAGATAGATATATGGATAGATTGATAGACGGATGGATGATTAGATTATGGATGGATGGACAGAAACAGATGGATGGATGACAGATGGATGGACATACTGATAGATGGATGGATGGATGGATGGATGGATGGATGGATGGATGGATGGAGGGATGGATAGCTGGATGGATGGATAGACAGAGAGAGAGATGGATGGATGATAGATGGTCGGACAGGTGGATGATTGATAAATAAGCAAAGAGAAATACAGATGGATGGCAGGAATAAACTTCCCTCATATACTGGTCAGCGTTTGTGTATATGAGAAGATGAGTTCACTAATAATAGAGTTAATGAACTGACATGTGTGTGTGTGTGTGTGTGTGTGTGTTGTTTCAGGCTCCATATGTGGACGTGGTGTGTGTGAACAGTTATTTCTCCTGGTATCATGATCCGGGTCACACTGAGCTCATCCGGCTGCAGCTCAGCACTCAGTTCGACAACTGGCACGGAAAATACCAGAAGCCCATCATCCAGAGCGAGTACGGAGCTGACGCTGTCCCCGGCCTGCACAGCGTGAGTCCCAACAACACACATAGCATATCTATATTCACAATCACAAACCAATATAACACTGATACTTCCCCTTAGCCCTACGCCTTTAAGCTAAAGAGAATTGGAGCACCCCAACCCCTTCACGTGAACGCGCAAAATAAACCGAGGGGGAAGGGGAAGGGCAAAGGGGTAGAATTGGGATTGTAGTAAGCTTCTGAACTGAAATCTCTTTAATGAAAATGCAGCACTGTGTCTAACATAACAGCAGCGGACAACAACTGTTCAGTCAACTGTGTGTGTGTGTGTGTGTGTGTGTGTGTGTGTGTGTGTGTGTGTGTGTGTGTGTGTGTGTGTCTGTAGAGAAAACAACTAAATTAACCTTCTATGTAAACACGGTTGACAGATGTGCGTGGCTATTCATATATAATTTATAAGAGTATAATTGTGTGTGTGTGTGTGTATGTGTTTTTGTGACATATCAGGACATGAATCTGTATAATGACATAGGTATGACAGGTATTACAAGAAGGTGGTGAATTATGAGGACATTCCTGACGTCCTCATTTCTCCAAAAGCTTATAAAGAGTTTCCTGTGAGGGTTGGGTTTACGGGTAGGGTGGGGTTAGGGCAATGCAGTATAAAAACTATAGAAACCTATGGAATGTCCCCACAATTCACAAAAACAAATGTGTGTTTGTGTGTGTGATTTAGGATCCGCCCATGATGTTCACAGAGGAGTACCAGCGGGCCGTCCTGCAGAACTACCACAGCGTGTTCGACCAGAAGAGGAAGGAGTTTGTGATTGGAGAACTGATCTGGAACTTCGCCGACTTCATGACGGCTCAAAGTAAGACATCAACCACAGCCTTTCCTTCTGTCCTGAACAGGTTTTTCTTGAACACACAGCACACGCTAACTAGCGCACAGTTCACACATGAACCATTCTGATAAGAGGACAAAGAACCGCTCACTGTATTTGCTCATACTTGCTCGGATTTACAGATTAAATGGGAAGCTCGTAGATTTTGATGAAAAGTCTGAACTTTAAATTACAATTTAATTACGACATCAAAATTGAGATGTAAAAACACAGTGAAGTTTCATTTTTAAGGCCAGTGCACACAGAGACATTTTTTGCTCGCGGTTCCCATCAACGTTTAACGCCTCGTGACTATATAAAGGGCGTCAATGTGATCGTGCACACCAACTGTGGTGGTTTTCGTTTTTTCTTTTAAAGGGTCACGAAACACCAGAACACAGGTGTTGAGCTGTTGACAGTGGTATATGTGTCCCACACTGCTAAAAACACTATTAGGACACCTATATTTCACTAAAAAGTGTAAATTGGTTGTTTTTGCGTTATTTTAAGCAAATTCGTACTTCCGGTTTGAAACTAATTTTTAAAGCTGCGTCACGGTCATGACATAATAGCGTGTATTCCAGCGTGCAGACTGGACGTCTGTGCCAGAGTGTGTCTTATTACGTCTTACAGTGTGTTGCATTAATGCATGAGTAAGGCTTGGTTCAAACCAATCAGCACGCTCTATTGTGCAACTTCATTAATATTCATTACTGTCACAGTGTTTATACGACAGAGACGCCACGTTGTGTTGGCAAAACAAGCGTGAAGTGTTGCTTTTATAGTTTGCTGCAGTGAAGTTTTGTTTTCATTTTCTCTCTGTGAGAGCTCAGACTCACGTGTGGATTAACAGTGTACGCGACGCTCGACAACAATAACTTGCGTGTCTAAGGAGGATTATTGTTTCAATCAATCAGTGGCGTAGCGCAAAATGCGGAGGCCCCCCAGCAGGGATCGCTGACGGGGCCCCCTGATGAAGGGGGGGGGATACGTCATACGTCAATTTGCATATCACTGACGTCATAACGTTCTACCGTTTCTGTTTAACAGCCTATGGTTAATAAAGGGGTATTTATAATTGCACTACACTTTATATAAGCATGTTTATTTAACTAAATTTATTGCTGTTTGAATACAGTATGTCATTATAGATGTGTAACGTTAGTGAATGTGCAGTAATCTCTCATATGAAATAAACTCAGACAAGTTCAGAAACTCACTAAAATATCTGTGATTTTGAACAAGAAAAGAATAAACGGTCCAAATAAATTGTTAAAATAAAGGAGAAGTAGATCGGTTTGACTGTACAAGGGAAATACCTTCACACTGCCTGTGCTAAATCATTTGTCGTCGGTACGCAGAGGGGTGATCTGCTCTCGGGCTGCAGGTGGGAGAGGCTGCTGTACGAGGACTGACTGGGCCGACTGTCAGTGCTGTGAGGCGGGGGAGGGGTCGGCGGCATCACACGCAGCTCGTTGAGAAGAGTAGGGACGGTACAGTATGGAAAAATGACAGTCTAAAAAAATCTCCAATAACAAATAAAAAAGTCGCTAGGGGGGTCTGAAAAGTCGCTAAATCTAGTGACAAAGTCGCTAAGATGGCAACATTGGCGGCAAGCAATCAGAATAAAGTAGTCCACCGCTTGAGAGGTGTTCAGAAAACACAGACGTGTGAACTTTGGTTCCGACCACAGTTGTTCCCAACAGTTTATTGAAAATCGCGACGACGCGGGGCCCCCTAATCACGCGGGGCCCCCCCGCGGTGCGTGCCCTGCGGGCCCGTCCGCTACGCCACTGCAATCAATAAATTCTGCAAACGCTGAAATCCGGATTCGCTTTAGTCTCCTCTTAATAAAGACGCGGCTCTAGTTGCTGGTGATTGTCCTGTCTCTACAGATTTGGTAAGTGAGCGACCAGTGCTCTTTGTTTATTCAGTTTGTTCGTATCGAACTAAGTTAACTATAGCACCGAGTGTAAACATGTTAGCACCACAACCAAACTTTAACCTCGTGTAGGATTTTCACCACATTTAGAGACCGGAATAACACACGCGGCTTTCTGACGCTACCTGCCGTGTGCATCTAAGTTTCCGGGAAATGCAGAGTTTTTTTCCTCTCATTTGCCGTGCAGTATCAAACATTGCATGAAAAATACACGCTTAGAGCAGTTCCTCGAATCAAATATCTCGTTTGTCGCGAGGGGCATGAATGAATTCCCTGAATGAAAGAGCCAAACTGCAGTTAAAGTCCAACATTTAATAATCTGGCAAATAATTCGACTACAGATGTCCATGTAAACACAGTCACTTTGTCCGCTGTGGGTGTGTGTTTTGACTCTGAAATTCAGCGTGCCCAAATCAACACTCCCACACCACGCCTCTTTTCTTCCTCCGACACTGCCCCCTAAACGGAGCTGGACACGCCCACTTTTCTGACTTTTTCCAAAGTAGAGGTGTGAAAACACACTGCTGAAACGAGGGGGTGTCATGGCCCTTTAAAGGTGTTTATTTGCTGAAATTCATATTAAAATCTGTTTTATTTATATTGTGCGACGTATATTTATAAAGTTTATGCAGAGTATATATTTTGAAAAGGGGAAATACAATACATAGCTGTATGAGTACTGTAATGTTTAAAAAATTTTCCATTTAAAAAGCATGAAGGTCATGTGACCATTAGGAAGAACGCAGCATCTCAATTCTTAGAGGATGCATTCTCTGCCCTCGCGGTCTCCTGAGTTCGTTCTGCCGAGGACACCTGGCAAGACCGGTCTCCAGAAGAACACAAGTCTGCTCTCTGTGTTCTTGGAATTGAGAAACAGCCATGAACAACAAGCGTGTGAACTTCCTCTCCTCCTCTTCTGTGTTATAAGCGGCTGTCAGAAGCTTAAAGTTGTGTAGCGCCATCTAACGTCAAGGAGGGATTTTGCATCCTCTTCTGCTTGACGCCAGTGAAAATCGCTTGGGTTTGAATACGGAAAAACGTCTCATAAAATGCTGACGATAAACGCAAACGAACAGCGTCCCGGTCTGTAGGAGCCTTTAGGAGTAAATTTAGATTAAAGTGAACCTATTATGCACAAATCACTTCTATAAGGGGTTAAACACAGTTGTGTGTCAGCAGTGTGTGAATACACCCAGCCTCTAATGATAAACATGTATTAATTGTATTATTTACAATCACACTCAATATAAACAGTCTGCAGACACACTTTGATAGACATTCTTTCTTTGTACGTGTCATCAGAGGGGGAAGCCCCGCCCACTAGTGCCCATCTTTCCCTCATTAGCATAAACAGCAGCCCTGAGTGAGAAGCAGCCGTCTGTCCATTAGCCATTACTGTGCGTTCATTGGCTACATTGATCTCGTATTTAAAGGGCCGGTTTAAGCATATCTTATCAGTCCCATTCCTGCATAAACATGCTTTCTAGCATAAAAATGTTGTGCACTTCTTATCAAAATCATTTAACAATGGAAGATCGAGTTGCATGTGGTGTGGCTTTGCTCCACTTATTTATCCAATGTGTCTGAAATATCCTGAAGCAGCAGTACTGTTTTGTACTGTCGCATGAGATTCACGCTTTTTTTAAAGATAAATATATTTAACATTAATGCACATCAGTAACTCGCCAGTAACTTATTTAATGCATGTTCCTGTGAGAAAACATTGTAAATAACTGAAAGTCTGGCGACCGCAATAATCAAACCCTTGGGAACAACTGTGGCCGGAACCAAAGTTCACAGGTCTGTGTTCTCTGGTATCCGCTCAAGCGCTGGACTCTTTCATTCTGATTTCTTGCTGCCGAACCACGCCATGGCTCATTACCATATAGTGGACTTGATTTCAACTCTCCTCGGCACCCGAATCGGCTGCACTTCTCCTCGCCGCCGGCTCCCATTGAAAATTAATGAATTCCGGCTACTTTGACGCTCTCACTGCTTTCGGTGTGAACGTACAGTTTGAGTGTAAGATAATGTCAGCATAGACTAAGAGGATTATAGATGTGGAGTTTTAGATGAAGCACAAATGAACAGCGACAGGAGCGACATAGACTGACAGAAGCATGAAGCACACACTGATGCCAACATTCCCACACTGATAATGGAAGTCCTGTTTTGAATCTGCCACTGAGCTGATGCACAGGCAATTGTAGCTCCGCCCTCTTTTGAATAGAGCACAATCTCATTTGAATTTAAAGCGACAGTCACCAAAACAGCCCAATTATGATCAAAGCCTGAAAGGGTCAATTTCAGAGAGCTAGAAAACATTATGTGTGTGATATCTCAAACTAAAACACACACACCAGAGACAGCAGAGATGCATTTACATCTTGTTAAAAGGGGTAGTATAGGTCTCCTTTACATTTCAATTTCAAACTCAACATTGTGTTTGTGTGTCTGTGTGTGTTTGTGTGTGTGTGTGTGTGTGTGTGTGTGTGTGTGTGTGTGTCTCCAGCCATCACTCGAGTGGTGGGCAATAAGAAGGGTGTGTTCACTCGTCAGCGTCAGCCCAAAGCCGGAGCGTTTATCCTGCGTGAGCGTTACTGGAGGATCGCCAACGAGAGCGGAGTGTTGCCCACCTGGAGCAGATACCCCTGTCTCTAAACACACACACACACACACACACAGAGAAAGATATACACAAAGACAGACACACACAGAAACACACAAAACTGACAGACAAAGACAGACAGACGTACAAAGAAGACAGACACACAGCCCTGATACACACACAAAGACACACACATACAAGGACAGAAACATGCACAGACAGACATACACACACACACACACACACACACACACACACACACACACACACACACCCACACCCAAAACAGACAAACACACAAAAACTCACACAGACATAAACAGACACACACACACACACACACACACACACACATACATGCAAAAAAGACACACAGACAAAAACAGACACAAAGACATAAACACACACAGACACACACAAAGACAGACAAACAAAAAAACAGATATACACACAAAGACACACATACATACATACAAACAAGACAGACGCACAGACACACACACGCACACAAAGATGGAAAGACTCACAAAAACAGACAAAGACACACACACATACACACACAAAGACAGACAAACACACAAAGGCTAACACACACACAAAGACACTCACAAAAAACACACAAAGACAGACATACAGACAGATACACACACACAAACACTGACACACAAAAACAAGACAGACACACACACACAAACAGACACACATACAAAGACAAACACACACAAAGACAGATACACACACACACACAAACAGACACACATACAAAGACAAACACACACAAAGACAGATACACACAAACACTGACACACAAAAAACAAAAGACAGACACACATACAAATACAAACAGACACACATACAAATACAAACGCACACAGACAGAACGAAACACACAAAAGCAGACAGACACAGGCTCACACAGACAGACAAACACACAAAGGCAGACAATCACACACTGTTCAGTCCGTCAGCTGGTTCTGCTTTTAAACACACTTCTATTACAGCGCAGAAGCAGCAGCTCTACTAAACTGCACACGTGCCTTATGGTGATTCAGATGATGAACGTTTACAGTGACGCTCCGATTAAAACACGTCCAGCTCATTTCACCTCAAACACACGAGTTTAATTAATGCACTTCTCCCTAAATGCAATATAATTTGCATGACATGAATATGCATAAAATTAACTGATTTAAAATGGTCAGTTCACCCAAAACATTTCATTTGCTCACTATTCTCTCTCCCTCAAGTGGTTATAAAGCTTTGTGAGATTCTCTCTTACGCTGAATATCTATGATTTTAAAGAATGTTGGAAACCGGTAACCATTGACTTGCATAGTAGAAAAAATATACTATACTACATATGCTCCCTTTCAGCAAGATCAGTAGTAGTTTTAAGGGTATATCTTACCACTGTTATGCAGATGATGTACAATTATATTTTTCTTTTAGTCCTGACAGGCTGGACAAACTGTCTCTCTTGCAGGATTGTTTAGTCTCCATCAACAAATGCATGGCAGACAATTTTCTGCAACTGACCCCTGATAAAACTGAAGTGTTTATTTTTGCTCCAGATAGCATCACCCAAATGATCAGGCAAGTGTTGGGGGGCTTGTCATCTTCAAATTGCAGTGATATTAGAAATCTTGGTGTCATGTTTGATAGAGCTCTGTGTTTTAATGGCCAGTTTAATGGTCTGTTGTTCGTACATGCTTTTTTCGCCTGAGAAACATTGCAAAAATAAGAGATATGGCGTCAAAGGACGAGATGGAGATGCTTGTCCATGCCTTCATCTCTTCTAGATTGGATTATTGTTATGTTCTGTTCACTTGTCTGAACTAATCCTCCATGGATTGAGTTGTGCAGAATGCAGCTGCGAGGCTTTTAACCAGCACCTGTAGGAGGTCACACATTACACCTGAGCTTAAGGTGTAACGGAGGCCAGCTAGTGAAGCGCTGTGCAGGTAAACTCACTCCTCTGACCTCTAAACGTGCTCTAGTTAAAGACGTTAGAGGCCATGATCTTTAGTCTCCTTGTTAGAGCAACCGACTCCCATGCGGAAGGTCGCCGGTTCAATACCAGCTCGGAGCGGGTTGGGTGGTGTAGGACCGGCGGGGTTACAAATGCACTTCACTGGCTTCCTATTAGTTTTAGAGTAAATTTTAAGATTCTGGTCATTGCATATAGAGCTCTGCATGGTCAAGCACCCCAATATATTCGAGATTTTTGAAGCAGTCACTCGTGTAGCCAGTCTCTGAGGTCTTATGGCAAAGACCTGTTAGCCATTCCCAGAAATCAGCTTAAGACTAAAGGTGAGCATGCCTTCTGTAACTCTAGCACTGAGAACTCTGGGATCAGATGAACTTTTTAAAAAGCATTTAAAGACGCACCTTTTTGGTCAAGCTTTTAATGAACAGCACTAGTGTTTCTGTATTTGGATTTTTATTTAGTTTTAATGTTTAACATGTCTTCTTTTATTATCATGTGTTCTTGTTTTTTCTTATTGTATAGCACTTTGTGACTCAATGTCTGGAAAAGGTGCCATTTAAATAAACCTTTACTTACTATGAAAGTCAATGGTTACAGGTTTCCAACATTCTTCCTAATATCTTCTTTAGTGTTCAACAGAATAAAGTAACTCAAATGACGAGTAAATGATTGAATTATTTGTGAACTATTCCTATAATGCACTTTTATGTTTAAACATGCATAACTGTAATAAAATATAATGATAATCTAATTAAGATCTTCAATAATGAGTAAAGAAATTATTAAAATTAAAATTAAAACATTACATTTAACAAAAATTAGTGCAAATAATACATTTAAGTTTAAAAATGCAGCTTTAATGCAGATTTATGCTTAGAAATAATTGCGTTACAGTAATAATAACAATAAAATAAAGATCATCACTGATCATATGCAATACATTAATACATTTATAATATATATATATATATATATATATATATATATATATATATATATATATATATATATATATATATATATATATATATATATATATATATATATATATAGTAATAATGTAGCTTTATATTTAAAAATCATTGCATATTACATGCCAATCTAATAAGGATTATCACTGATTCAGCAGGAATTAAAGGGGGAAATGTTTTTAATTAAAACACACACACACACACACACACACACACACACACACACACACACACACACACACACACACACACACATCAATGTAAAGCCTATTTTAGAGGTTAAAAGTGAGCTGGAGGTGTTTCTGTGCAAATCAAACATGTAATAAATGAGTGTTTTATTAGAAGCAGTGGGGGAAAACAAGTTGGTTTTGTATTCATTTTGATCATAACATGTTATAATTGTGGTGTTATTTCTCATTTGAATGTGTCTGTGTATGAATGCTGATTTTATATGACGGCAGATTGTACTTTAATAACTGTATTCAGTCTACTCTGTGTGTTTGAACCATTCCAGAGTGGAAATAAAACACATTCCACAAGATCTTCAAGATCCTGTCAGTTATTTACTTTTAGTCCTGAAGCAGAGGAGTGGATGGAGATGGCTCGTATTATTTCCATATCTCCATTTTGTTGTCTAGCCTTAATATACAGTATGTGCTTCATACGGCTGCCAGGTCTAGGAACATTTTCCAGCCTAAAGACAAATCAAAATGCACATAAAATACCTAATAAATAGTTTAAATAATGTCTACCCAATCCTAAACCTAGCCCTCACAGTAATGTAAAAATAAATAGTGTTGTAGAGTCACAAAAATTATGCTGTATTCATGTGCAAATCCCCAGTAGCCACAGATATGGCCCTTCTAGAACTTACCCCCTTGCAGAGGACTTTGGGTTGCCAGATATGTTTTCCAGGATCAACGTCCTTTAAGAAATGATTCAGTTTTCATTTCACATTTGCTAAATCAAATACTATATATGTGCTGGATATGTTATGTTAATGTAGTTTTGTCAATAGGCAAACACAATGTATAAGTCAAAATGATTGAAGATCATGCTGCATGAAAGGTGGCACGGTGGCTCAGTGGTTAGCACTACGGCCTCACAGCAAGAAGGTCACTGGTTCGAGTTCAGCTTGGGTCAGTTGGTGTTTCTGTGTGGAGTTTGCATGTTCTCCCTGTGTTGGCGTGGGTTTCCTCCACGGTCTAAACACATGCTATAGGGGAATTGATTAACTAAATTGGCCAAGTGTGCATTTGTATGAGTGTTTGCTGTCTACAGTTGCTATGGTAAAACAACTATAGTAATTAATCTATTCTTGTGATTCCATGGTTGTTATGGTAACACAGTTACCATAATATAAACAAACGATTGAATACCATAGTTTTTTACATATACAGGGTACATCATACCCTGTTGATTTGATAGTTGCTTTGGTAACACAACAACTAAAGTAATTATCCTAGTGATTCGATGGTTGCTATGGTAACAAAACAACTATAGTAATTATTCTCGTGATTCGATAATTGCTTTGGTAACACAACAACTAAAGTAATTATTCTAGCGATTCGATAGTTGCTATGGTAACAAAACTAAAGTAGTTATTCTAGTGATTCGATAGTTGCTACGGTAACACAACTAAAGTAGTTATTCTAGTGATTCGATAGTTGCTATGGTAACACAACAACTAAAGTAATTATTCTAGCGATTCGATAGTTGCTATGGTAACAAAACTAAAGTAGTTATTCTAGTGATTCAATAGTTGCTACGGTAACACAACTAAAGTAGTTATTCTAGTGATTCGTTAGTTGCTACGGTAACACAACAACTAAAGTAATTATTCTAGCGATTCGATAGTTGCTATGGTAACACAACTAAAGTAGTTATTCTAGTGATTCGATGGTTGCTATGGTAACAAAACAACTAAAGTAATTATTCTAGCTATTCGATAGTTGCTATGGTAACACAACTAAAGTAGTTATTCTAGTGATTCGATGGTTGCTATGGTAACACAACAACTAAAGTAATTATTCTAGCGATTCGATAGTTGCTATGGTAACACAACAACTTAAGTAACTATTCTAGCGATTCGATAGTTGCTATGGTAACACAACTAAAGTAGTTATTCTAGTGATTCGACAGTTGCTACGGTAACACAACCAA